AAAAGAGGAGATGAAGGGCGAACCCTATATGCTCCTGCGAAACGACGAAGTCAGACAGGAACGATCGAGAGCGCTCCTCTTTTTTTTTTTTGAATTCCATTGTTTCTTTTATTTGTTTTCTTTGTTGAATGGTAGTTACTCAAACGAAACGGTGTGTCGTTCTGTGAAGTGGGGCCGGCGGAGACAGCAAAGAGAGGAGTCGGTTTCGATCTCTCTCTCTTTTTTTTTTTTACTACTGCTTCTTTCTCTTTTTTTTTTTACTACTGCTTCTTTCTCTTTTTTTTATATAGTCAACACCACTACACATTTAACTGGTTTAAGCTACAACAATCAAGCACTTATTATACCCTATGCAATCCTGGCTTTTCGAGCCATACAACTTCGTGGCCAACCTCATAGTTAGGTTTTCTTAAATGGAAACTCTCGATGCCAAATGATGCCACTAGGAAAAACTTTTCAATTATTTTTGCTTCTTCTCTGTCTCTCAATCTTGAAGACAAATCTGTTTTTCATAGCGATGAGAGTGCTAAACAACAATATATTTATTTAGATTCAAAGACAATACAACAACAATGTAAGGAATGGGAAAACAATTCAGAAAATCAGCATTAAGATGATAAATTACTCGAAGTCTATCATCAAAGGACACATAAACCTCCCAATTACAACAGCTCACGGTTCAATTTTCAGCATAAAAACAGTCTCAAACCCATTTTAGTTCTTTTATTTTACTTGAATTAAACTAGCTGGTCTAAACCTTTATTAAAACAAAAAATGGTTCATGTAAACCCCCTATAAATAGACCTCAAATGTTATAATTGAATGCAAGAAATAAAATTTCTCTTCCACTTTTCTATTCCTCTTCTCATCATCTACTTAGAACTCTACACTCGCTCTCTCTCTCTAAAGTGGCAAACAAGCCAAGCAACAGGAACAAAACTCCTTGTTCGTAGTGTAGTTCATCCTATTTATAGGCATCTATAAAAACTTCCATATAGGGACCATTATATCACATCAATGGCATGACATACTGATTGATCCTTCAGCAACATGGGTACTTACCATCTATGCATGGCACAATATCAAATGCAAACAGAGTGAAAAACTCCTCCACATCATATGTATTCAACACAATCAGAATTATCCATCTAACTGATCGACTACAATGCATAAACATATGATATCAGCTTAGAATAGTAGAGTAGCGACATACTATCCATTTTACATCTAACCCAGAAGCACCATAAGCCATTGTCATCAACTAATTTTTAATACATGAAAATATCATAGACAAAAAAATAAATAGATCAGAACTCACAGAGTGAATGTTTGTTCCTCTCTTCGTAAATGCCAACAACCTTTTATCTCCCTCCTGAAATAAATAAAGCAGTTAATGGCACAGAAGACAACAACAAATCATAATAAACTTCTAAAAAGAAAAGATATATGTACCTGTTGCCTAAAATATTCTCGGAATTCAGTCCATGATCCATGGACTTTAACCACCACATATCTAAGTTAAATTGGTCAAATTTAGAAACTAATTCTAAATACTCAGAAATAATTAGCCGATTTGATTCAAATCAACTAACTAACTTGATCAGGAAACAATAATGCATAAAAAATAGCATACCAACCGAAAAATAATAATAATAATAATAATAATAAGAAATGTACAAACGAAAAGCTAAACAAGTGCATTATGCATGCATGGATTTTGACTTTGTTAACTAATGACCAATTGACATGAGAAAGAAAATAATATAATAGAACAAAAAAAATCAAATTAAAAGCATAGTCATACAACTTAATAGAGTTGATCAACAAAAGATTAATAAAAAAAAAGGATACGGCCAATAATCCAATCCAGCACGCTTAAGTTTGGTGTCATCTATTTTGTATCCTAAAGGCTGGAAAAATTAAAGTAATGTAACCATCATAATAAATTAAGATGTGCAAACAATTCAATGGCATTTTACATCAAAGATTCTATATATTAAAACCAAAATTGCCACTTCCTAAAAGTTGCTAGAGTCGTTCAAGAATAAAATGGGGTCCGTATTGTATTATTTAATTAACAAGATGTCAACCCATGCACTCAAGTTTGTCATACCATAAACCAATTTTCAAAAATAATGCCCTCATCTTTCCAATACCATTAAAGGTTTTTAGTTATGCTTCATTTGTTCATATATATATGACAATAATATCAATAAGATCGATTTAAGGCCCAAAAATGTGTCTTTGTAGGGTATTCTCCCATACAAAAAGGGTACACGTGTTACTTTGAGAAAATATGCACATATTACACTTAGCTTTAACCATTTTTGAAATCAACCTTTTTTAAACGAAAAATGTCTTCAGGAGAAGAGAACTAATGAGGAAGAAGATTTTTAGACTATCACTTAACTTGTATCCGCTCAATCAAAGTATTCTCATTTCAATAATTCACTTGAGATATTACTTGAACCTGAACCCAAGCCTATCATAATCATAAACCAAAGGTTTGTAACAAGGTGAAACATACAACTTCAATCTCCTTAGCTATGTGCTTATTCAAGAAGAAAAAAAAAAACTCAAAAGTAAAGCAACTCACAAACTCCTTGCAAAATCTTTAATTTGAACCAATCTCAAGGACTCAAACTTCTAATCCACACTTTACTTATAATGACCTTGGCATTCTTATAGCACTTAAGAAAAGGTCGCAATGTTGTATTCAGCATCCAATTTCAAGCTTCGTGGCTTATGGTCACTTATCATCATCATTTTAAGTTATTACAACTAGCACGTCTATTTTTAATATCTCAAAGACTATAAAAGAAGTATTATCAATGCTTGAATGAAGAAATGTTAGCATTAGAGAAGAATAAGACTTGAAATGTTTTGGCAATGTCAATAGAAAAATCTCTTGTCAGCGACAAGTGGGTCTTCACTATCAAATACAGGATTGATGAATCCATTGAGTACTACAAAGCAAAGTCAGCCAAAGTTAATAGCAAAAGATTTTTCTTAGACCTATGGAGTTTACAAGAAAACATTTACACTTGTTTCCAAACTAAATAACTGGGTTTTATTATCCCTCGCAGCAAACGATGATTAGAAACTCCGATAGCTTCATGTAAAAATATATATTTTTGAATGGAGAATAGGAGTAAGAAATCTATGGTCTGAAACAATCTACTTTTACTTTCGATAAATTCAGATATGCAATAAGACATTAAGGATACCAACAAGCTCAATCTGATAATATTATAATCTACAAAAAAAGGGAGGAAAAATCACCATCCTCATAGTCTATGTTGATAATATAAACTTTACTAGGGTGATATTAGTGCAACAATAGGGATTATGGAAACGCTTGAAGCAGAATTTGAGATAAAAAATCTAGACTTGTTAAGGTAATTATTTGATATGAAAATAGTAAGGAAAATAAGCATACAATATTTTATTTGTCAAAGGATATGTATTTTAGATTTTCTAAAAGAAATTGGATGCAGGATGTAAACCTATAGATACTCCTATGAATCATAATCTGGTGTTTGGAAAACAATTGGAAGGCACTCCAGTAATTTATATATATATATATATATATAATTTATTATAAATGGCATATTTCCAATGAAAGAGACATCTGCTAAAATAAATGAAAAATTAGAATAATGGGCATATCATTTAAAAGATACAGACCATAGAATTAGTAAAGCAAAGAATGGCTATCAATATGTAATTGTAATAGGCATGATGTTAACAATTATCATTTTATATTATTAGAAAATATAATATGTTTATATATCTTGGATTTATTATACAGAAGAATAAACAGATTAATAAGAGTATAATTTCTTGAATTTATTAAAATAGTAAAGTGAGTTTTGTGTGATAAAAGGATTTCATGTAAAGCTTAAAAGTAATTTTCATAAAATCTCAATTGGGTTGTAAAAATGTCATTAATATCTAAGTTGAGTGTGGCAGAAAAGAAAATGATAAGATAGATGTGTGGCAAAAACATGAAGGATAAATTATGGAATGATTCCATTAGAAGAAATGTTAGAGTGAGATCTATTGAAGATAAGGTCATATAAAATAGACCTAAGTGATTTGGATATGTTCAAAGAATGATAGAAAATGCACCCATTAGACAAGTTGATAAAAATAGTATCGGAGAATTATAAAGAAAAGATGTATAAAGAAAAGATGTGTAAAAAGTCACATGGATATAACTTATTTTAAATGATTAAAAAATAATACATTAACACACATTCAACACTTAACATAAACAAATGTAACATGAGGATTCATGATGCCAACCCATAATAGTTGGGAGAAGACTAATAATGATTATTATAATACCAATATCAGTACTGTGAAGCTGGTCTAGTATAGTCACATAAAACTACTCATCTCAAATTACATAACTTGAAATAAGAATCTTTAGGGCATTTTGCCAAACTAGAAATCATAAATCAACATCACAGATTTTCAAAAGACATACATTTGTCAGACCAAGAGAAGAACGGAATTTTAATTTAAAAGAAAGAACCGCAATAGCAATGGCAATGGGAAAATGGCATTACCTCAACAAGATGTAAGCCAACAGATGATGCTGCACATGTTCTAGCAATACATCCTGTGTTCCCAGGAATCTGTCAGGGACAAAGATAGCTCAGTACCACCTAGTACATAACATGGATGCACCTGCAATTCCAAAGCAAGATAATGCAATTTGAACAATTTTTCAGCATTCTAAGTCTTATTATTCAAGCTTAAATCTGCAAAGACCTTCCCATGCATTGAACTCCGTACATATGCAAACGCTTAAAAATATTTCTCATGTGTATGTTTGAATTTACAAGGCATACTGATACCAGCATATTCATTTACAGTAATTACAAGAAAACTTAACCAACTAAGCAAGCATCACCCTCATCACCATTAGCCATTGGAAAACGATTAGTGGTTGCTTTATTAGGTTCCATTCTCCATTTATTCCAACAAAATATTGCATTATGCATTAACGTTATTTGATAATTTTACTTCTTTTGGCACAACTTCAGAATGCATTACCTCTTAACAAATCCTTTTTTATCTTAATTATTCAAAATTAATTGTATTTAGTATTTACTTGCCTTAATGATATATCTTTCACCCTCCATCATGCATATACAAATCAAATGAATCTATTTTCCACTATCTTATATTTAAGAGGTGCTATTCCTGCCATGATTTTAATATGATCATTTTTAATCTATCCTTCCTAATTTAACAAAACATTCATTTAAATTATCATTTCTATCACACTCAACTTGTTCATAGTGGTTTCTTTATCATTCAACACTTCATACATAGCATTTCTAGTTGAATAATTTCCTTTTATGCACAACAATAAGTTTTCTTATAGAACACTCCTAAGTATTGTTAAATGTGCTAAAAAGCATGTGTTTTTGAAGCAAAGCAATGCATTGCATAGCCCAACAATCTAAGAACTCTCCACCGTTGCAATAAAACAAAAAATTTAAAGCGGTGTTGTTTTCGTGAAGGGCATGCCTTTTACCATTTTATAGAGCATGAATCGCATGTGCTTTACCAACCAAACACCTCTCACCAAATGTCATTTCACATAGTTCTAGTTTGATGGTTATTAAAAGGTCTCAATAGTCAGCCTCAACTCACCTATATCAAATCTTCTGTCTACAGTTACCTCCTTTGCTAGTTTTCAATGTGGGTTTAATTAAATTTAGTTTCAATTATCTCTAGCTGTTTTAATAGAAATGTTTTCCTAGGAACTTAATTCTTTGTGTTTGTTTGAGCTCTAGCGAGCTTCATTTTTATACACCTTCCCATCAAACTTAAATCAGTCTACTTGAATAAAGAAAATTAGCATTCTAATCAATTATCCCAATTAACTATAAGTTATTATGTTAATATTATATGTAAAAAGAAAAATTGAATTTGCCTTTCAAAAATAGAAACTCACTTCCATTCATTTTCTATCAAACAAGCACTTGAACTCTCTTATAAAAGTGAGTTCTAATCAGTTTTAACCACTAAATTCAAAACAAACTAGCGCCAACTTCAATAAAATAGTTTTCAAATGCATGCAATGGCCAAAATTATACAAATTCTTATAATGCAGAGATCAAGAATATGCTCTGAATATTGAAGGATTGCTTAAAAAGAAATTAAATCTGTGATGCTTAAGACCTGATTTACCTGAGGAGAAACTAAAACGACTTTAAGAAGTCTGTCACATGAAGCCACAAAATTGGACCCAGCACTACCATTGGTTTGGGAATGCACTACAGTTTCCATAGTTGAAAAGGAGGAATTAGCAAACACGATGGACTAGTCAATCTCAAAAAAGATACAGCATATGCAGAAACTGTGCAACATGTAATCCAATAACCCAACATAAAGAGCAAATTTTATTGAACAAAATCAATAAAGCGTGCTCTCCAATTTATCCTCCTAAGAAATAAAGATCATACGTTCTGAGTCTGACAATAAATCCTCGGGATTTTTCATTTTTTTGCAAAAGAAGCACTAATATATGCAAAATTATTAGCAAGGTTTGATAACTTTTAAATTTTTTTTGTTTCTTATCCCATCCCGAGTTCAATAGCTAAATCACACCATGCCATCACCCACGACAATCACTATTTGTGAGCTTATGTGTGAGCTCCCTTAACTGTTGTGGAGCTTGCGCCATAGGAACTAGCCATGGTGATGCGGGTTCACATGGAAAAAGCTCACTAGAGAAATCTGTAAACAGCTATTAAGCTCTGAACCTAGTTGACCGAAGAGTTCACAAGCTCTGTACAAGGTCAACAGCAAAGCAGAATCAGCCACTCTTTTTCCTTTTAAGATGACTCAAACATTCACTCTTGGGTAGTCAGAATTTATGCCTTGGTTGTGAACAACCAGACGTTTATTCACAAAGTCCAAGAAGTCAAAGCATTGGGCAAATTATTGCATATGGTCACCGGACGCGGAGATAGGTGCGGATATTAATAAAATATTATTTTAAATTAATAACGTCAAAAGCGCAGGTAAAGTACATGTAAAGCGCAGGTAAAGCGCAAGTCAAAAGCGCAGGTAAAGCGCAAGTCAAAAGCGCAGGTGACGTGGCAAACTTTTATTGGATGTCAGGACGCCGGATGCAATTGAGGCTTGGAAGGTAAGAAACCAAAACAATTAAATCCAGGTGTAGAGACTCGAACATTAACACTAATGGATTCGCGCAAGCATATACATCCACTCTTGGCGGTTTAATCTCGGAAAGGACTGCAACCCGAGAAGATGTTCAGATTGACATAAAAGCAGATATATATGCATCGATAAAAAAGAAAGCCACCGGGCATCTATACATAGGTAGCTAGCAGCCAAGCAAGATTAAACTCAGGCACACACATAAAGGAAGACAACACACATAAAGGAAGACACTCAGAAAATCTATCAAAACAAAGCAAAAAATAAAAAATAAAAAAACAGCAAGAGAACAAACTACAGCCTTCTTTTTCTAAAACAAATTTCTCGTATGCTTTATCTAGAAGCAAGCTATTGACCAAATAAAGCTTTCAAAAAATCTCAGTTGCTAAGGGGTTCAAGTATAACCTAATCCCTAAAATGCTAGCTTGCGAATAAAATGAGTAAAAAGACATTCGAGTTTGAACACACGCCGACAGGAGATCGTTGTGGACGGCGGCTGAGAAAACTTCCTTAAGAGCTTGAGATTTGCAAGCAAAGCGGGACGAATAAAAGGGCGCGGGCTGAAAGGTATGGAACAGAACTTCAGATTTAGGGCTCGGAGGCTGCTCACATCCATGCCTCACTCCCAACGTCGCGTCGCACTTTTCACCCTCCGTTTTGCCTCTCTCCACTGAGTTTGTAGCAGATGAATAAAGCGACAGGAGCGAGGAAGTGGAGCGAGCGTGGACGGCACCACAGACGATAAAAATGATAGGAAGGAGACGTCGGCTGGCTGTGTTTAAGTTAAGCTTGGAGTTAAGGAGCTGTTTTTTTTTTTAATTAAATAGGTGATTTTGAGAATATTAGTGTTTGATTTTAAATAAAATAAATATATTATAAAATTTTTGTGTATTTGAAATTTAAATTCTGGTTTTTATTTTTTTTGTATTTGAATTTTTTAAATTTGACTTATTTTCAAATGAGCCTTAAATTTATTGTTATTTTCATTTCCTGCCACCAGCCCTCACCACCGTCGGACACCGTAGTTACTTTGGTACTCCCCACCCCTACCACCAACACTCGCCGGCCGTTGGCCACCCCACCATTAGCCACTGCCATCGTCGATGACCCTTCGCCTTTGCCAATCAACGACGTTGCTCCACATCGCTATTGTTGGTCACTAACCATCACCATCTTTAGACTTTACTCTGCTTTCATTTTACTTCAAATCAAATAAAAAAAATTTTATCATGCATTCCTTTTATACTTATACAAGCAAATTAAAAGTATTTATTTTATACTATATTTCTCTTGCGCTGTATTCATTTCATATTGCATTCCTTTTTTCAGTCATTCAAACAACGCTAATAAAAAAATTTAATTCATCAATAAGCATTAGGATTATGAATTACTGTTAATCAACAATTTGTAGCATCGAAGGCTAAAGTCTTCTTAGATTTTTAAATTATGTCTTCTAAGGATTATGCCTTCTAAGATTTTAGGAGAACCCGCATCTTCTGTGGCTTATGTAATTTGAGATTTATCGAAGAAATAGTGATTTTGAGGTTTACACTTTTTTTTTTCTTTTTTTTTTTTTTCCTTTTTCTTTTTTTGCGGATCCATGTATTTTGAGGCCAATGTCTTTTTTTTTTTTTTTTATAACTCATACCTTTTAAGCTTATACTTTATGAGATTTTAGATCGGTTGGGACCCTATCAACAACTTGCATAGGCACTACTACATAATTCCCACACGTCTAATCCATTCTGGTGAGTTGCATGAATTCATATGTATATTATTTGTTTTAAACATTTTGTGTATGTGCTTTGAAAATTTTGGTGTGCATGTGATATATTCTGAAGAGGTCCAAGGGATTTTGTGTGCACGAAATTATTTTGGAATTTTTTCCTTTGGCGTGTTGCAGTGAAACTCCTTAAGTAAAAGAATCTAAATTATTAAACATCAAGTCACATTTTGGTGCAATAGTTAAAATTTGATTAAAAAAACTCCACAATTAAATGTGTTTATCCCAATGAAATCATGGGATTGTTGGTCCCCTCAGAAGTTATACCAATATAACAAAATCGTGAGGCCCCTAGGTCAAAGCGGACAATATATCAATAATTAAGAGTTTAGGTTATTACAATTTATATCAAAGCATAGTTGTTGGAATAATTGAATTATTATTATTGCGGGCTAGAATATACGCGGTGATGGACTTATAATTTTACGTCTTAGCGTTGCACAGAAATCTAGCTCACACACAAAGAACACGAGATTTTTTACGTGGAAAACCCTGGAAATGAGAAAAACCACGGGGCATAGCCTAGTTAAAAAGATTTCACTATAATTTAAGTTGAGTACAGTGGGCTGATTTGTCCTTGAGGGCGATCAGATTACAAATGTCACTATATAGTTGAAGTCTGGTGTCAAATCTAGTGTCACTTAGAAGTTCGTGCCTCAGGTGGTGATCAAGCAGAAGTCTAGCAAAGGCAAGGGCCTCAGGCGATGATCTGGCGAAGGCGAGAGTCTCAAGTGGTGCGACAAAGGCGAGGGCCTCAAGTGGTGGTCTGGCGAATGCGATGGCCTCAAGTGGTGGTCCGATGAAGGCGATGGCCTCAAGTGGTGGTCCGACGAAGGCGATGGCCACAAGTGGTGGTCCGACGAAGGCGATGGCCTCAAGTGGTGGTCCGACGAAGGCGAGGGCCTCAAGTGGTGATCCGGGGAAGGCAAGGGTCTCAAGTGGTGGTCCGACGAAACTCTGGCGGTGGTCGAGGAGGAGCTTCTTCCTTCTCTTCCTTTTCTTCTTTCTTCTCTTTTCTTCTTGCTCGAATAAGGCAAGGGTCTCAAGTGATGGCCCGGCGAAACTCCAGCGGTGGTCGAGGAGGAGCTTCTTCCTTCTCTTCCTTTTCTTCTTCCTTCTATTTTCTTCTTGCTTTGATCCCTCTCCAAGAGAAACGATGGGTCTATTTATAGATTTTTTTAGTGGCATGACATGTAAATATGTGAGAGATCAAGGGTAAATGGGGGGTGGTTGGATGGACGGCAGATATTGATTCCCTTGATCATGGACCGTTTGATAGACATTTAAATGTCTTAGTAATGTCAAAATTTGGTGATCTTGGGTTCGTTGGATTTGTCTCGTCGAGCCGCTCGATTCAACTATAAGAATGTTATGTTTGAAAACCGTTTCGTAATCCAAATTATGGTTTGAAACCTTCCAACAATGCTTTTAACCCTTGATTTGGACCTGTTTGGGCTCAGATTGGGTTGGATTTGGTGTTTTTGGGTTCGTATCCTCGAGATGCTCAGTTCAACTATAAGTTTGCTTAAATCGGAGTTCGGATGGTTCCAATTTTAATTTTGAAAGTTTCCAACTTGATTTTGCATTGAGATTCGTGCCCGATCAAGATAAATTTTTAATGACATATCAATTATAATAGATGCAGGAATTGATTGTAAGTCGAGTAGATCAGGTAAATTAAAAGTGCATTATTTTACATACATAATTAAATGACATGTGATAGAATAAACCGTGTGACTGTGTTTTTTTTTTTCTTTCAACGAGTTTTTATTTAAGTTTGATTTGATTTGAGTTTTATTTGTATAAGTTTGATTTATATCAATTGTGTGCCCGAATTCTTAAAAGAAATGTCGATGACAATATTTTTTAAATGTGGGTAGATTGAAATAGCTCTTATTTTAATACAGTCAAATAATTTTTTTTTCAAAGTCATTATAAGTCCAAATCACAAACCATCTTTGTCATAACATAGATATTATAGTTATTTAATTGCAAAAAAATTTCCTTAATTTTGATCATTTGTCAAATCCTTAATAAATTTACAAACGTCGGTATAAATGGGGGTTTTGGAAACGTTAGGTGCCTGTTTTACAAACTGATTTCATAAAAAATAGCTATTTTATAAATATTTTTCTATAAATTTTAAAGCTAAAAAAATTATATAAAATTTATACTAAATTTTGAATAAATTATAATTATATTGTTATTTTATTATAGATATAAAAATCATTGACATAAGCTTTTGATCCCTTATTCATTTCAGCTAACAGAGAAATGAACTTGAGAAATAAGAGATAAGAGATGGGAGAAAAAATGAAAGCATGGGTTTGAAGGTTGTGGACGATTTTTGTTAGTCGATCATGTTAGGAGATTAGCTCATCTCATTGTAAGAAACGATTATCTTATTTCTAATTTCAATAATTGGTTACAAATAGTATCAGAGCAATACATCAGCTAAAAGATGGGACATAAGTGTCATGCAAGATAAAATGTGATGGCATGGGAGTCATTTCTTGAATTATGTACGGGACAAAGTTCTACAAAACGGGAGTCTCCACTTTCACTTTGTTTGAGTTAAAAAAGTTGTGTGAGTTTTGAAAATATATTTTTTTTAAATTTAATTTATGAATTTCAATTTCAAAATTAAACATGTCATTATGAACAATATATTGGCTCGAGAGGTGAAGATATCATTCCTTAATGGGTTCAATTTATAATATTTAAAATTCATCCTAATTATCATAGTCAAATTCGAGCAAGAACTACATACGTATGACCCTGGAGGGTTAAAATGATTGTTTAATCACGTGTATCATTGATGTGTACTGCTATGTACCGATGTTGTGTACCATTTCTTGTTGTTACTGTGTGTTGTTGTGTATTGTTGTATACCACTATATACAACTTTTGTTTAATTATAACCTATACATTTAACTAATAATAAAAATTTAACTAATAATAACTATATACAACTTTTGTTTAATTATAACCAAAGACAATATTAATAATAAAAATTTAACTAATAACGTCAAATTTTCACTGCTAAACGCCATTATTTATAGAAGTCAAATTAACAAACTAATAACAAACAAGTACCTCGATAACAACCATGCTCATATTTTTGTCGTATTGCTAGCTAAGAAGAACAAGCTTCGCTCAGGCCTTTACCAACCATTGTTATTTATTTATTGCCTACATTAGGTATGTCGTCACTTATTACACAATTTGTATATATGTTTGTTTGATTGTTTGGTCAAATAATTTGTTAGTTTGTTTGATTCATTCAGTTATACTCAAAATATACCACGAATACCAAAATCTATGTAAATCGTATCAATAAAGATTCCTTAAGTGGTTCAAATTTGTTGTTGATACCTGTGATCAACTACCAGCATTGGACCATTTTGATAGTAAATTTGCATAATCAAGTTTAGTAGTTTTTTTATTCCTTACCCAACAAGGCTCATAAGGCCATCCTTCCTGAAATTGTGAGTCCATATTTGATTTTATGCTACACTTTCATCTTAAATTTTGACTCAACTATATATATTCAGATTAATATGGTCTCAATATTTTATCTAGATAAATTATCTTTATCAAGAAGCAATAGATTCTTTTGATGCTGATATATGATAATGGTCAATCCAAATTATCAATGGTGTGCCAACCCAGACAAATGACTTTGATTGCGGTATGTTCATTTTTAAATATATAGAGGTTGTTGTCAAACATTAGAGTGTTAATTGGGTTGAATTTAAAGACTAACAAAAATAAAATACCTAAATTCAAGGCCAAATTGGAATAAGCTATTCTTTGTACAACCAGAAAATAACTTTACATAAGTTATATACATATTCTTTGTAGTTATCATTTTGTATATATATTCTTTATTTGTGGTTGTCATTTTGTGCATTTTTTATTTGTGATTGTAAAAGAATAATGTATATATAAAAGTAACACAGCTCTTGATATGATTATTTGCATTCTTATTTATGGGAACTTCACAATATATTAGAAGCACACAATAACGGTATATAACAACAGTACACAACAACGATACACAACAGCAGCATACAATAACACATAATAATGATACACAATGGTACATAACAACAATACACAATGGTACATAGTGTCCAAATCACAAAGAGATCACGATTATTGCTCCTTTAATAGTTGGCGCACACCATACTACAACTGAGTTTGTGATGGATAACATTCAAATCGTGAAATCAACTCACACTGTAAATCTTGGCAATCAACCAGGTTTAGAAACTTCTTTCGCTTATCTCTATGTAACAACTTCTTTAATGTTTGCTTATACAAGTCTACAATGAAGGCATCCTGAGATAGATGCCAAGGGTGATAAAGAATAATATTGTCTACATCACAAGGTGGCCAATCAACAACATTAGAAATGTTACATTCTCTGTTACATCGTAGCTCATAAAAACATATTTAAATAAAATAAACACTAACTAGGTGGTGATATTTATCAAAAAACTTACTTTTCACGTATCTCCATCCTCTAGCATTTAAGAAATTTCATGTTCTGTTTCCGTCCACCCTCATCACCTCTCTATATGAAATCTTGAGTATATAATCACAACATTCATGCAATGTGTGCATGTAACATCTATATATTTTATTTGCACTTGCTAGTTGCTCAAGAGAACCATCAAAACACCTTGACATACATTTGTGTATCCTATTGTTAGCGATTTCCATAAAGTCTTTCATTAGTATACATTGAGACTTCTCAATATCCGATCAATACAGGTGATAGAGTATAATCAGAATAAAAAGAAAGCTGTTAGAGGAAACTTATAATGCACCTTAAATAAATCAAATGTTATAACTACCAATCTTAAAGAGATAAAAAGTTACAACTACCCACCTTAAATATTTGAAATGTTATAACAACCCCGCTTAAATAGCTGAAATGCTACAACTACCAACCATTAATAGCTTTCAATATCAATAGTGCATAGCGATAAATAATGATACACAACATCACACAACGATACATATCAACATAAAAGAGGCGATACATAGTAATGGTATGTATTTCTCTCTGAAGCATTCTAGTATATTTGAGAGCTTGAAATGACTCACTGATGAACACTATTATGTTATGGTGGCCTGGTTGTTAGGTTTCCTTAATTTTTTCTTCTCCTAGTGACTCTTCAATCTTGCATTAGAGATGTATTTATGTCTGCACTTTAGTGGGTCTTTCAATTTTTTAAAACCACCTTATGTGTTGCTTATAAGCTTATGATTCTTTCTCTTTCTATCCAGAATTAAGTCTATATTTTCAGTCGTGTCATTCATTACAGCCAACATATATTATTCTGCCTCCTAATTTCCCTGTGCTTATGTGTTAATTTGATATGTAAATCTACTAAGATGATTCATAAATACCATACCACTATATCCCTCATAAGATGTACTGTCTTTCTTTCCCATACCTGTGAAAATGTGGCCAGCATAAATATCTTTTCTAACTATTGCTTACTATCTCAATAGTAGGTACTTCGTAGGAATATTAACTATATATAAATGTCTTATAACTTTTGTGCAGTGAGAACATGAAAAACATATAATGTCAAACTTCCAACATCTACATTAAATGATAGCCTCTTTTACAACAAAATGAACAATCTAATGGATCGATTGATGAATCTTCTCAACTCTTTTGACGAAAGACATTGATGAGTCACTTGAGGCATAATCTATACAAATTTTTTGAGTAAAATCATACAGCTTAATTTAGTATTAAGCTACTTTTTATTACATGTACTATTTTAAACTTTTTATATATGAAACCTTCATCGTATTCATTCTAATGCAAAGTCATAATCACATTCTCTAAGCTCACATAATAATCAGTTATAGAATTTGTTGGCTTTGAAATACAATGTTATACATTGTCAGTGGGCTCGCTATGCTGTTTTGAAAGAATGACAGTGTTAAAATAATTCTTATTGAATATTGTTGACTACTTGTTTCTGATCCTATAAAGCTCCTTCAATCAATTATGGTTATGGAGGCCCCCTTTTGTGACCATTTTGGGCCAAGTTCTCTCGAACTCCTCCGTAGAATCCTTAAACATCTATAAAAAAATCCTCTAACTTTAATGTTGCTATTGAAGCACCACACCTTGGATTGAGCCTTCTTGGTGATGTGCCTTAGCACAACCTATGACATGTCAGAGATAAAACAAATTCTATTGCCCTAGCCATTACCTGATCCTGACCACTAAATATTATTATGGGATATTTATTATATATTATTCGTATAAATGTTCTAAATAATCACATAAATGATTCAATTGTCTCATCCGATAGAAAGGCCACCCCTAACAAAATATTACATTAATGATTATTAACTATAACAAATGATGTATAAATTAAGTTGTATTTATAATTAAGCTTATAACTAGTATAAAAAATAATAACATCTCCAAAATAGTCATAATTTATTCTCCCCAGCCCACCAGAAAAAAACAATCTATCATCTTTATCAGTTTGGACGTCCAATACAGACATATTGTCATCAACGTGTTAATTTTTAAATAGTTGAATTAGGGAATTGGTGTCCCCATACTCAATATTCACATTTTTCTTTTTATGAATATAGTTATATGCATCACTCTTAGAGAATCCAACATTTTCTAAATCTCCAACTTCATCGGGTAGGTAAGTAAATGCATCAACGATTCTTATCTCGGCTTATGTCATTGATTTAAGAATTGATGCATTCTCACCACTAATATTCTTACATGATCTAAATAGATGTAGATCTTCTAGTATAGCTAATTCGTGATTTTGACTATCTATACATTGTTGTACCATCCAAATTTCATTTTCATCCACTGAAAATCTGGTCATAGCGGGACAACTCGTTATGGTATTTGATTTTTTATATTTTGATTGAGAATTTAAGTCAATTCCCTTCTTAAAGCTAACTTTTGAACTGATAAAGTCCTTGAATTTAATTTTTTTAAAATTAGGCCAGTAAGTGTATTATTCTTTACAAATTTTAGAACCAACATTATGAATATAATGACATAACATATCATATGCTTCATTATCAGAATTATAAATACCATGTCCACAAGAGAAATATATTAAATCATATTGATATAAGCATGGCAATACATAAAAGTCACAATGGTACACATCAGCGGTACACAATAAAATTACATAGTACTAATATACAACAATATTACATGATAATATAGGGTTGATCTAAATTTGTACACAAAATTGAAATTGAATCTAAGCTTATGCAGACCATCCGAACTTTTGAGGATAAAAAAAGATTTGAACGATGCATCCTAAACAATTAAAAACTCTATATTTATAGAAAAATAATAAAATCTCTCCGGAGTTTGAAATTTACCGATAATATCGTCAACTTATCTCCCATGATTCGCTGCAGTAAGTTTTCTTGGACATTTTACATAATGCCTTCCATCTCCTCTGAGAATTTGATGTCCTCAAAATCGGTTTTCATCCACATGGCCTCTTCCACTATTTTCTTTCTCAGCTTTCTTTTGAGAAAAAATCCATCTCAGGTGATGAAAATTAGTCAACTAAAATTCTAAACTCTAGATATTAGGGCACTAACGTGGGATTTTTTTTAAATAAGCTTAAATTTTTATGTCTGAACTAAATCGGGCAGTCGCCATACGGAAATTGGTAAAAACATTTGGACAAATATTATAAATATAAGTGTCGGCGCTATATCGGAGCACATAATAATTTCCCCTCGTCACTTGGTGCGGAATTTCTGATGGGTTAGTCGATTGGAGCTCTGTGAATCGTCTGTAATCGGTTTTTATGCAGCCCTACCAATAAACCCTCGCTAAATTGTTTCCTAATTTCGGCGTTTCGATCCTTCGAATCGGCTATATAAAGTTTCCTTTGAAATCAGCAAAGGGTTAGTGGGTTCAGTTTCGTTTAGGAATTTCCCGAAGAAATCTTTCAGGGACGAGGAGGATTTAGGGATTTGGCTTTTGGGGATTCTCTTTTGCTTCTGTAGGTAATGGGAGAGGTTGAACGTGCTGGTGATGATCGAACCTTCCGGTTGAACTGCGCCGGTGAGAGCCTGGCGGGGTTGCAGGAGAGGGTGAAGGAGAAATTGAAGGAGTTTATGGGAGATTACACCGACGACACCCTCGTGGTACGATGTTTTTCACTTCCCCACCTTTCTCGTCTCCGTGATTTATTTTGACTGTCCCTGCATGTTCATAATCATGTGTACTTTAGAAATGAAGGGAATTTTCTGTTGAAATCTCTGCAAGCAAAACGAGGGATCTTTATAATAGTTGTTTTTTTTTAGTTTTTCTAGCTGAGTTTCCAATGGAATGCCTACCTTTATTTGCTACTTGATTTCAATTTTGCAGGAGTATGTGATTGTGCTGCTCAGGAATGGGAGGGGCAAAGAGGAAGCAAAAAGGGAGTTGAATGTTTTTCTAGGAGATGACAGCGACTCTTTTGTATCCTGGTAAATTTCCCTTCTTCAAATGCTTGGTGGAACTCCTATTGCTTTTGAGATAGTCATTACCTTCTTTGTTTCTATTACTGCGTAAAGAAAACTCATTCCTTTACAGGTTATGGGATCATCTATCTCTAAACTTGCATCTATATACCCAACCAAACGAATCCCTTACTGAAGAAGTGGTTAACAGAAAAGTGACAACAAATGACCATTATGGGATATCAAATCTAGAGATGGTGCCGGCTGGTGGTACTTCATATATTGATTCTGAACACGAGGGTGAAAAATCAGTTAATATCTCCAGAAGTAGGCGTAACAGGGAATGGAAAAGTCTCGCAAGTGAAATGACTGGAAGTTTTCCTCTCAGAAGCACTGTGATTGAGGCTTTGCATTCGCGAGAGAAGACAGGTCAAAGACCTGATGTTAGTAGCTCCTCTTCTCCTAGACCTCAAGTCAGTAAAAAACGGAGCAGAGATAATGAAAGGCAGCCATTAAAGGTGCATGCCTTTTTAATTTGTCATGTTGATTGATTTCTTGTACGTCTTTTTTATTTCCGAACAGATTTATTTAGCAATATGATAGGAAATACTTGAGTTCGCAAGTAACCCTAAGGTAATACTTGAGTTCAGAAGCAAACCTAACCCAAATCGGCGAACAAACAGCAGCCAAATGACTGTCCACAGTAGGAAAACAGCAGCAATCTGCTGTTTACAGCAGAAAAACAGCACTTGTCCGGGAAAATCTGAGAGAAAACTCAAGAAAAGACTTGTATTCCACTTAGACGATGAATAAAATAGCAAGATACAATTGATCCTCAATTCAAGAGGAGGATCGATCTCTCCCAAATCTCTGGCAACGCTAAGAGCCCAAAGAAAACCTAAATTTAAGAGATCTCAAATTTCAGCCAAATTTAAGATGATCAAACCCTATGAAAATCAACTATTTAATGAATACAAATCAAAAGGAAATCCCTAAACAATCCCTACATTCAAATTCCCTCCTAATCTTCCTCAAAATTTCTTCTTAAAATGCTCCGGCAAGGCGAGCGGCTCGCGTGGCCTCCGCCCAGGCGAAAAACTTCCGCTGCGCGCGTCTGGGCCGGTCCCGCGTGAATCGACTGGACCGGTCCCGCGTGAACCGATTGGACGGTCCATTGGACCGGTCTAACAATACTCCCCTCCCGAAAATTCACCTTGTCCTCAAGGTGGAGATATGCTCGTGTTCCGGTGGAGGTGGCCATCCTTGAGAGGACTGAAAATCCTTACTATATTGCTGAACCAAGGGCTGCACTGAAAGAGAAACATCCCCTCCCTCTTCCAATCTGATCGCATCCAGCCTGTGTAGTCCCACCAGATAATTTTCCCCCACCTCTTGTACGTCCCTAACTGTGGTCTTAAGTGATGTGATGGCTTTGGATAGCCCTGCATCTCCCCTTATGACCACCCTTCTCCCATCCATCATTAATTCCATCGTGAGTGCTCCCCAATTGTCCTTGGTTTCCCCCAAAGTTTGCAACCACTTCATCCCCAGGATGACATCAGTGCTTCCTAACTCTAGTTGGAGAAAGTCCTCCCTTACTTGAATCCCCTGGATAGTCTACACCACTCTTTTACAGATTTCTTGACCTTTCTCCACCTTGCCTGTACCCGTCATCACCCCATAACAACTAGTGTCCACCAATTTCACTCCCAGTTGGTTGACAACCTGAGTGGAAATGAAATTTTGGGTAGCCCCACTATCAATTAGCACCACCTCCTCACGGTCAGCTATCTCTCCTTTCACTTTCATAGTGTGACTCGGAGTGAATCCCACTACAGAGTTCAGAGAGACTTTTGCCACATCCAGGTGCAGCTTCTCCTCCTCTTTAGATCTGCTCCCACCTCCCTCCTCGTCTTCCGTGTCTTCATAGACAAGGAGAACCTGAAGAGTTCGGTCCTTGCACCTATGCCTCGGCATGTACTAAATAAGTCTCGAGGCGTTTTTCGTCTGTGAGGCGAGGCGTAAGCCTCGAGGCGGTGTGAGGCGCGCCTCAAAGGAAATTGCGCAATAACGCTTATGAGGCGCGCCTCACTCCACCTAAGGCGTACGCCTCATGATGCCTGAGAATTGCGTAGGCTTTGAGGCTATTTTGAAGCAAATTGCGCAAAGGCGCACCTCAAATTGCGCAATTTTAAACTATGCTTGTCCTCTTATCCTGCATCTCCTTCTCTGTCAGCCTCTTGAAATTTTCCCCACTCCCTCCTATCGGCTTCTCCCTGGTGGTCTCATTAATGTTGCCTGATGCAGGCCGCTTGGGTGCTAGAAGAGTGGTCGTCGTCCCACAAGATCCCCATGAATAGTTTCCTTGAGCCCCTCTTTCTGATTTCTTCTGATCTTCCACAAACTGCGCCAGCTCCATAGCCTTCCCTAGGTTCCTCGGCTCCAACACCCTGACTGCTTTTCGTATATTCGGTTTAAGCCCCTTCATGAAGTTCCCTTCCAGGGCTGACTCTGAAATGTGATCCAATCTGCTAGCCAAGTACTCAAACATGTCGTGGTAATCTGCCACAGTCTCCTCTTGAGTCAAGGAAAATAATTACTCATAGAAGTCTCCTCCCCCATCGGCTCGGAAACACTCAAATAAGCAATCTTTGAACTCTCTCCAGCTCCGGATGGGCTCCCTCCTGTCACGCCACTGATACCATGCCAAGGCTTTTCCTTCCAAACACAATCCCTCCGTTGTCAGTTTCTCTTCCTCTGTCAACCCGTTGACAGCAAAGTAACGCTCCACCTTGTAGATCCAGCCATGACCGTCTTCACCCTCAAAGACGGGCATCTTCAGCTTCCTCACTCGTGGGTCTCCCCAGTTTCCCCTGAGTCCTTCATAACCTCCCATTTCTCGAAGAGGAGGTGCTTCTCAACTATCACGATCCTCCCTCCGGCGATGATACCCGAACCCTTCATCATATTCCCCTCTTTTCCCTTCAAAATCAGCACCCCGGCGATGAAAATCTTCCCTTCTCCCGACGAAATCAGCACCTCTCCGGTTATTTTCCAAACTCATCTCCTTTCTAGAAAGTGGCTCTAGAGGTGGCATGTCGTCTTCTCCCCCAATGACCTCCACTTCCGGATTTCTCCTCCCCCTAAACGGGTTCGAATTCCCTCCTACTCCATGGCCTCCGGTGGTCCCTTTTGCTTCCGATGTCGTAGGATTGGTCTTCAACTCCAACAATTTCTTCAACATCTCTTCCATCACTGTGAATTTCCCCTCAATCCTTTCATTGTTGGAGGTGATTTGGTTTTGAAAATAATTTTTTTTTTCTCCAAATCTGACTTTAGTTGCCCGATCTCGCCTTCCAGTACTTCTACCTTCTTCCCGGCCATCTCTCTTCCCACGGATCACAAAGATCTTCTTCTGATTGTCAAAAAACCGCTGAAATTTCCAAATTTCAGCCGCCGAAGGTCCCAAATCGATGCTTTGATACCAATTTGATAGGAAATACTTGAGTTCGCAAGTAACCCTAAGGTAATACTTGAGTTTGCAAGCTAACCTAACCCAAATCGGTGAACAAACAGCAGCCAAATGGCTGTCCACAGCAGGAAAACAGCAGAAATCTGCTGTTTACAGCAGAAAAAACAGCACTAGTCCGGGAAAATATGAGAGAAAACTCAAGAAAAGACTTGTATTCCACTTAGACGATGAATAAAATAGCAAGATACAATTGATCCTCAATTCGAGAGGAGGATCGATCTCTCCCAAATCTCTGGCAATGCCAAGAGCCCAAAGAAAACCTAAATCTAAGAGATCTCAAATTTCAGCCAAATTCAAGATGATCAAATCCTAGGAAAATCAACTATTTAATGCATACAAATCAAAAGAAAATCCCTAAACAGTCCCATACATTCAAATTCCCTCCTAATCTTCCTCAAAATTTCTTCCTAAAATGCTCCCGCAAGGCGAGCGGCTTGCGCGGCGTTCGCCCAAGCGGAAAACTTCCGCTGCGCGCGTCTGGGCCGATCTTTGTCATTTTGATCACTTGAGTATATTTCTGGAATAAACAATATCCTGATTAAATTATTTCCATAGTGATTTGTATGCAGTTTATTTTGGTTTGTAAAATTTGTATCAACGATTTGTGTCATTTTTCATGAATATAGATATCTAAAATAATATTTTCTAACATTCAAGCATTCTAGCAAATGCCTTTCACATTGCACTATTTCTGTCTATTTCAACAAATGATTTGGTACCTTTGATAGATGTAAAATGAGCATTTTGTCTTTATATAATATCATCATCTAAACAGAATAAGAGGTTTGCCTTTAATCTGAAAAATTGCAGGTTTGTAGAGTTTAATTGCACTATCTACTTTCTGAAGTTTTCTTAATGTTATAGGGGACATGTTGTAAGTAGCACCTATTATTGAACCAATATTGCGTTTTGGCTCATAATTTTAAAAATACCTATATTTAATACCCGTATTTTTGATAAGCAACAATTTAGGTTTTTTCAATAGGTATATTTTTATTCTAGTGAATTGATATGAAGACCTTTATGCAACAAAGTTATCATTCACTCTTGCCCTTCCTTACTCTATGTTGGATAGAGGAGTGATGCAAGGAGCTTGTTTGGCTAATGTTCTAACTCGCTTGATCTCTCTCTTTATCTCTATCTCTATCATACAAGCACTTACACACTCCACCTGTCTCTTACTGCCCCTCTCCTTCTACAAATTATGATAGGCAATTGTTGGCCATATATGCGGATTCTAATGATGCTACTAATTGGAGGAAGCTACCATTATTGACGCTTGTTAAAGGGAATATCAAAAGGATGCAACTTAAATCAGGGATAAAATTGCATAGCAACCCAAAACATGAAAAAGCATGACACATCAGAATATCTAAGTCAAACAATGAATAGAGAAAGGCGTGAAACATGATAGGGAAAAAGTACCATGCTCTTAAAATGTGATATTGTTAGTTTATTCATAAAAAATACCTAGAAGTGTCACACGAGCCATGTAACTTAATCCCACATGAAATAGGAATAGTGAAAATGGATTAGATTGATGAGGAAATGAAAAAATGATTATGACCGAGACTACCCTCTCAAGTGCTTGCCTAATTCGCAAGTCCTTTTCATCAATTATTGACTACAGAAACTCAAATTTATTCATATTTCATGTTTTAGGGTACACATGAAGAAAATGTTGAGAGACTCTTTTTGCCATCTTTAACTTGTCATGAAATTCTTCAGGTCTATTGCATTTTCCTTTTTTTAATAAATTTATTATAAGCTTCTTATTACAATTTTTTTAGTTGCATTGGGAAGCAGTAAACAGAAGCTATGAAATTTGTGTAAAAATGGCATTTTGAAAGATTTTATTTTTTTGGCGATCATAAATGTTGTAGATACTACTAATGTAATTAGGAATGCTGTTTATGTGAATTAATGATGTTCAGATGCACAACAAATTTTTTAAGCAGTATTTTCTTTTAAAAGGATTGAATATTTTCTTAATAACCTTACGGCTCCTATGTGCATGGATTTTTTTGTGAAAATCCTTAAAATTCCGAAAATCCTTAAAATTCCTGATTGTAAATTTTTCTTCAATAAACATATTCAATGAGAATATTTATGATGATGATGATGCATCTTTAATGTTGACTCAAATTCTTGTAAGTCTTTTTTGCATAACTTATAGCTAAGTTATCTTTGTTCTCTTCCCTTCTTTCTTTTTCTTTCACATTTATTATTTTCCTTGGGTTGTCTCTTTAATTCTCCACTATGCATACTCGAAGCACCTAACTTTATTTTCACTACATTTATCTTCAATACATTTGACATAACCATCTCCTTAATCTGATTATTTAATGCCGCACCCTTTCTAGTTTAAGCCACCTATCCATCTTTTTGATAGAGATAAACTTCTTTTGTGCTTTGTGCTTCGCAATTTGACACACGTCTATCACATCACTCATATTTATGACACCAAACTTTGTTATTACAGTGATTATGTATTTATTTATTTTGTAAATGTTGATGTTGACTTGTATATTTGATTCCTATTTTCTCCATGTTCTCTTGCATTCCCTTTGCATGTTTCTAGCAAGCATTCTCATCCACTTATGATCATAGTTTAAAATTGCGCAATAAGAGTCGCACCTCTGCGCAATTTTACCCTAAAAGAGCCTCATTGCTTAAGCAATTTCTGGTCTGGGTGAGGCTTACACCTCATGGATCCTGAGGCGCGCCTCAGAGGGTTAATTGCGCAATTTTGGTTGAGGCTTACGCCTCATGGAGCCGGGTCCCACACACTTAAGTTCTTAAAAAAAGCCATTTCATCCCTTTTTTCTTTCCACCCACCCGAATTGGACGGAAGAGCTCCGCAAGCTGCAGTCCGCACGCCCTAGCTTCCCTCGGCCGGCCTTCCCGCCGCCTCTCCCACCGGCGCCGTCTCACGCCGGTGAGCAACTTGAGTCCGGCCGCCCTCTACGACACTTATACTATGGGTTTTAGGTATTTTTTTTTTTAATTCAATGTTTGATTTTTCAAGTTATAGAAAATCTAATGTTTAAATTTTTTTGAGATTTTTGGTTTGATTTTGCATTTGTGCATTAGGAAACATGGTTAGGGGAAAGGAAAAGTCAAATACGTCATTGCGGATGGATCATTCTTGGAAGTACAGTGTACATGTTGACGTAGGCGGCGACGAGAAGACATACGCGTATTTGAAATGTAATTTTTGCGATGAGACATGATTGGATTTTAGATGTTATTTCTTATTTGTACTTTTGGGAGTTTTGACTTTTGATAGACTTCAAGTTGTGATTTTGTACTTTGAATTATGCTATGAGATGCATATATTGCATCTATTTTATTGTTTTCCACTAAGTTCACTTTTCATTTAGATGTTTTTATTGTATCATAGTTTCTTACTGTTATTTACATGCTAGAATACTTAAATTCCCATTTACGCAATTCTTTGTCCGTGAGGCTTACGCCTCGCACCGCCTCAAGGCTTATGCCTTGCCTCACGGACGAAAAACGCCTCGAGGCTTATTTATGCAATTTTAAACCTTGCTTATGATAATTGGATGATGCATTATCCTACCTTTAGGAACTTAAGGATTAAACTAATAACATCTAATTAGTTGTTTTATACTTTAAAGTTTCAGTTTTTGATGATCATTAGCTGTTTGTTTGGATCAGAGAAGTTTAAAAAATATTTGCTTTTTTTTTCTTGGATGTTTTTTTGTTGCATTTAAATTTAAGCTAGAGTAAACTGTAAAGAATTTGGATTCAACTTTAGTATTGGGAGAAAGGAAGAGGATTGTTTAAATTGCCTACTGTATGAAAGAAACAATGGTGGCTAATTATTTAAACAGTTGACATGCTGAGCTAGGTACTAGTAATAATTTTGAATTTATATCATGTACCTTACATTTTTAATAGCTATTTTCTCCTTATTATTATTTTTTTTTTTGCTGAATGGATTCTGTGCAACTTCTCTGATGCATATGAAAATTGATGCCAGAGAGATGTAGCTTCGCTTCCAAAACTTGCTCCCTCTCGTCGGCTTCTTGAGTTTGCTGTTAGAGATGCTGTGAAAATCGTCCAGAAGTCCAGCTCTAATAGAGATGCTGTGAAAATCATCCAGAAGTCCAGCTCTAATGTTGAACCAACTATGAAGCGACTTCGTTCTGTAGTGTCTACATCTGTGGATACTAAGTTAGATGAAAGACTCCAGAGGCCTAGATCCAAAATGAGAATACCAGTTTCAGCATCAGTGGCACTCAAAGCTGCTGCAGAAGCAGCTGAAGATGTAACAAAGAGTAGAAATGCTGGAAGTGTTTTTGATAGATTGGGCCGAGTTAAAGACACTCCTGGCTCCATTGATCAATCACCTAATATGAACAGGGCTATCTTGCAAGATGCAGAGGATGAAGAGTTTGGTCAAAGTGCCAGGTCTGCCCATGTAAACTATAATCATAAAATTGGTTATGATGGAGATTTTGATGGGAGTAGTTCAATGTTGAACAAGGTTGATGACATGGCTGTTGATTCAACTTCAGATAATGATGGCTATGATGATTTTGGTATTTCCAGTGATCATGGTTTGGATGCTTCTCAATATGCTTACTCTGCAAACAAGGAGAGTTCATTAACAGTGCACTATAATGTTCCCGAAGAGACTGATGCTGTTGTAAAGAAAGCAAAATTGATCCAGCAGGAGACACCACCTACTACATTAGCAAAGCCTTCCAGCAAGATTGTGAATATTTCTGTTAATGTAAATACATGGAAACCTGCAAATTATCAAGTATCCAGGAACAGTAATGAGATTGAAAATCAAATGGTTGACGATGGTGAGCAAACTATTGCAAAACCGAATGTTCGGATCTTGAAAGATAACACTAGCTCCATTGCCGGGAATGACAATGTAAGTTTGTTTTTGGTGATATGTAACCTCCATGTTGTTTAATATTTTTTCCATTGATGCTAGCCTGCATGAAAACAACTTGGTCCTATTAAGTTTTTCAATTTTGGCAGAAATTAATGATCATTATGTATTACTTTGAGTTCACAGAAATTAGTAGTGGACATGAAATGAAGCTTGTTTCTTACATTCTTGTTGGCTAATTTAAAGAACGTTTTTTAATTGAAGCAGGGCATTGGTGATGTCGTTTCCCTAAAATATATTGTTTGGTATAATGCCATATAATATAGTTTATTTAGAGAAAAAGCCCAAAATAGTCCCCTACTATTTGTATGTGGTCTATTTATTCTCGGAGTATCACATTTGTTCAATTTAGTCCCTTTGTTATGCAAAATTCATTCCAAATGACCCCTCATGGAGTAAATTGGTATCAATTTTATACAATCAACGGACTAAATTCGGATTTATTTTGTATTCTAATTTCTATGAATTTTTATTTGAGGTATCATTTTAGATCAATTATGGATAATTACTTTGGGACTTAATTGGCTACATATGAATAGGAGGAGGTCTATTTTGGTCTTTTTCCTATTTTTTATTGTTGAAATGAAAATTAAATACATTGATTATTTTTAAACATGCAATTAAACAGTTAGCAAAATGAATGTTGAGAGATGCTGATAGATGGTAAGACTTGAGAACATAGGAAAAAAGAAGAAGAAAATTTACATGATGAGAGATGATGGAGGTATTGGAGGGTATGATTTTAAGGAGATCTTTTGCTATTATTTTGTGTGCAATTTTAAAGAGAATATAAGAGAGGAGGTAGAGGTAGCAAGTATTATTTTAACATCTATTCATGCAAAAATTCTTGTAGCTATTATGTGAGGGTCATGATTATTCGGCAAGTTTTACGCTGGCTGTCGACTACCTAACGCAATCTTCCACTTAGCTCGTCGAGGACTTGGGACCTGGCAACGACAGTGTTAAGAAAGGTAGAGGTAGACCTAAAAGACTTGGTTAGTATTAGAAGTGATATTTCTTTATTAGATTTAAATTAGAATTTGACTTTTAACCGGACACAATGGCGAAAAAGGATTCATGTAGCTGATCCCATGTAGTGGGACAAAGGCTTGATGTTGTTGTTGTATTATGTGAGAGTTAGAGGGGCGATAGTCAAACTAATGAGTGTTTTATCTTATTATGGAATCCTTAAAATTTAAGTTTCATAGAGTTTGGCCTTATAATCTCATTGAAAGTGAACATGGTTCGGTTTTTGTCATATTGTCATAGGTAAAAGAATAGGATGCACTGTCCCACCTTTTTGATTTTCTACTTATTGTTGGTATGATAATAGTTTTCATTATTTATGTAGATCTTCGAGATGATTAAATAGCTTTTTTTCTAAATCATTTGTACTTGCACACTTCTCTTCATCTACAGCTTACTGCCTGCACATGTATTATATTGATCTAATTATTGATATAATGAATTCATGATTTTATGTAGGAAATGGCAGCCACAAACATTCAAAAAGAGTCCCAAAAGCCTCAATTATCAACACCTGGTATGTTTGACCTTGAACCTTGAATTTCATATCCAACAATTATGCTCGTAGAAAACTAAGATTTTGGTTTTTGATATGCTAAAATTATTTTTTTAATTTTTTTCACTACCTATAAAATCAGATTATATTTTTGACATAATTATGAGAAAAGCTGGTGTATTATCAACCAAATATTGTCTAGAGATATATAGTAAGAACTAGGCTAAATAAAAGAAACTCTTGTATGACCTAATCCTCACAAATCATGGTTACCTACCGGGATATACATTTGATGGACCGGCTGAGCCGATCCAGCCAATCAACCCGACCCCAACAAAGGTGCCGATCTAGCTGGCAGTCGGAAGAGCCATGTGAGGGGTCAAAGGGGATTAATTCTATTTTTAATTACTTACCATAGAAAATTAATATTGAGAGAGAATTTGGAAGGTTTATTTAGGTAAAGAGGACTGATTTGAATTTAGATTTGTGAATGAATTTGGATTTATTTAGGGAAGGATGACTGATTTGAATTCACATTTGGGAGGGAATTATAAATGTTTATTTAGGATTAATTAGGTTATTTTATTTTCATTATGTGATTTTGTGTTTTGCAGTATTTTTCTTTGGAGTTGTTACTAGCGGCGCCTAGGGTTTCTCGAGAGTCGATCTATCTCTCGAATAATAGATTAACTTGTATCTTGGTTTGTTGTGCTTGCCCATAATCACATTCTTTCTTGTTGATTTATGTTGTGTTTTCTATTTGTTATTGCTATTTTTTGGCTGTGTGAAGATCAAATTCCTATCAAATTGATATCATAATACCTTTTTTAGGAACTATGGCGCCTCAGAAGTTTGATGCATTGGAGGAGAGGCTTGATGGGGAAGTTGGAAATCTGAAATATTAATTAAGAGATCGAATTTCAGCAATTGAGGGCATATTTTAGAACCTGGAAGAGATGATGAAAAAGTTTTTAAGAGTTTCAAGCCAAGACAACATCATCGGAGGCAAGGGCACCGTTGATCGAACAAGGAAGTGGTGGAAAATCCTAGTATAGGGACAATGAGGGAGGATCAGTTGGTGAAAATTTTGTGGGAAGAAGAGGAGATGCCATCTTTGGAGCCACTTCCAAGGAAGGAAATGGGTGAATGGTTATGGCCGACAAAGAAATTGAGATGGTGAAAATTGTAGAACTGATTTGGGGAGAGGGAAACATGGAGGGATCATAACACTCGATACACTAGAGGAGAAAGAAGCAATTGGGGCGGTGGCGATCCTAGGGTGAGAAAGTTAAAGATGCTGGTTTTTGAGTAAGAAGATGCTAATGGGTGGATTTATTGAGTGAGAGATATTTTGCTGTAAATGGGTTGACATAAGATGAAAAACTCATTGTAGCCGCTCTTTGTCTGGGGGGAATGCTTTGTCCTGGTACTAGTGGAAAAACTCGTGAGATCCGATTTGATCATGGAGGGAGTTCAAAAACTGTCTACTAGAACGTTTCCGAACCAGTCCGGAAGGAGACTTCTATGAATAGTTATTTGCTCTAGTGCATTGGGGGACAGTGATATAGCACCGGGAGAAGTTCGAGTATTTCTGAAGCCGATTGGAAAGGTTGTTAGAGGCTGTGCTAGAGAGGAACTTTATGAAGGGGCTCAAGCCTGATATTCGAGCATTATTCTAATACTGAAACGATGTGGCTTAGGGGAGGCTATGGAGTTAACTCAGCTGGTGGAGAATAAGAACTCCTTAGAGTGGATTAGCCGTAGCCATGGTTTAAAATTGCGTAATAAAAGGCGCGCCTCAGCGCAATATGACCTCTTTAAGCCTCAAAGCCCACGCAATAAGTTCAGGTTTTGAGGCTTACGCCTCAAGTTTAATGAGGCGCGCCTCAAGGCGCGACTCGCCTCACATTTTTGAGGCGCCGCCTCTAAAAGAAAAAAACTAACCTAACATATTTTTGTTTAGTTCGGACCCTCCAATTGCCGACGTGGATTGCCTAGTGAGATGTCGACATGGCTTCAACATTTAAACCCTGTTAAAGGTAAAATGGCAGAAAAAATTTCACAGTTCATATGGCGTTTCTGTTTTCAACTTCCGACATACATTTCAAGCATTCACTTCGGAGCAATTTGAAACATTAATTCAGTTCCTTCTCAGATGTCGTCACCCCCAAAGATGAGTTTACAAACCCTGAAATAAAGTTGGGATTGTATCATTGCATGAATCATCTAATAAGTGATGCAACTGAAAGATTAAATATTGACATGAAATTGCTACCTTTTAGGAACAAAGAAAGCTTTTTTAGATTACAACAAACAAAAGATACAAATGCCATAAACGAGTCGAGCTCGAGCCAGCTCGGTTCACTTACACCCCTAATTGGGAGACATTGAGCTCTATAGGAGAGGAGGAAGAGGAGAGAGCAGTTCATCATAATGATGATTCAAATGAAGACCCACTTAGTGATGATTGATGAGTGATGACAGTGCTGATAACTAGTGAGTTCTTATGTGATATGCCAATGTCATTGTTATTTATCTTGTGCATTTTTATGTTTTATATATTATTTACTCATTAGTATATACAAAATTTATTATTTTATGTTTACGCAATTTTTTGATTTTGAGGCTTACACCTCAAAAATGTCTTGAGGCTTACGCCTCACCTCACGAACGAAAAATGCCTCAATACCCGATTACACAATTTTAAACATTGGTCGTAGCAGCAGTTCGGTAGTCTCCTACCGCATGCCACTACATTTCTGGCACCAAAGGTGCTGACAATGCTTATGTAGAAGGAAGCCCCAAGGGATAAAAGTCAGGAAGTATGATTAGAGGGGGAACTTCAAGAGGTTGATTGAGTCAGAAATTAAGGAGAAGAAAGCCAAGGATTTATTATTTAGGTGTGATGACAAGTTGCCGACCCCACGTAGTGGGATAAAGGCTTGATGTTGTTGTTGTTGTTGTGTGATGATAAGTTCGCTCCAGGCCACTGTTGTAAGGACCATTCATTGAAGGTCCTAACAATCTACAATGAGGATTAAGATGCTGCAGAGGATAAAGTAGAGGAGGAAGATGATCATCTTCACTTAGATGTTGTAGAGGTATCCCTTAACTCAGTGTTCAGATTCACACCGAGCCACAACATGAGGGTTAAGGGGAAGATCGGACATCAAGAGGTGGTAGTACTAGTGGATAGTGGAGTTATCCACAATTTCATTTCCAACAGGATGGTGGATCAGTTGGGATTGAAATTAGAGGACATAGGGGGCTTTAGGATTATGTTGGGAATAGAAAAAGTAGAGAGGAGTAGAGGAATTTGCAAATGGGTGGTCCTAATCCTTCAAAAGGTTCAAGTATTGGAAGACTTTATGCCATTGAATTTGGGGAGCAGATATGTGATACTAGGAATGAAGTGGCTAGAGAACTTGGGGAAGACCAAGATTGATTGAAAGGCTCTAACTATGGAGTTCAAGGTTGAGGGGAGGAGAGTGGCTATTAGAGGGGATCCTAGCATGTCCAAAACTATGGTTTCACTCAGAACCATGATGAGGGCAATCCAGAGCGGAGCTGCATAGTTTTGAAGGAGAAGAGGATGGGAGAGGTGTTCCAACCAGTTTAGGTGTTGCCTCTGTCGCGGGAACACTAGCATGCTATCAGCATGAAGGAAGGAGTCTCATCTATTAGTGTTTGTCCGTACTGTTACCCCAAAATCTAGAAGGATGAGATTAAGAGAATGATCAGGGAGATGTTGGAGGCAGGGATTATTCGACCCAGTGTCACTCCATTCTTTAGTCCTGTGCTATTAGTGAAAAAGAAAGATGGCAGTTAGAGGTTTTGCGTGGACTACTAGGTGTTGAACAAGGAGATCGTGCCAGACATATTTCTTATTCCAGTGATTGATGAGTGGCTCGATGAGCTTCGATCCAGACATATTTCTTATTCCAGTGATTGATGAGTGGCTCGATGAGCTTTATGGAGCAGTGTTTTTTTTTAAGATTGATATAAAGTCAAGGTACCATCAAATCCAGATAAGGTGCGAGGATATTCTCAAGATGGCATTTAGGGCTAATGAGTTAAATTATGAGTTTTTAGTGATGTCATTTCGCCTCACTAATGCTCAAGCTACTTTCCAATCCCTGATGAATAGGGCATTCCAACCATATATGCGGAGGTTTATGTCAGTCTTCTTTGATGATGTTTTGATTTACAGCTAGGTTGGGGAGCACTTAGACTACTTGGGATTGATGTTATCTACTATGTGGGACCACCACTTGTTTTCCAATATGAAGAAGTGCTCATTCGCCTAGCTTAAAGTGGAGTATTTAGGGCATGTGGTATCACAGGAAAGAGTAGTAACTGACTTGAGCAAAATCGAGGCCATGCTTAAGTGGCTAGCACCCAAGAGCTTGAGGGAGTTGAAACTTGAAAGGGTTCTTGGGGCTTACAAGCTTCTTTATAAAGTTCGTGAAGGGATACAATTCAATAGCTTGGACTTTGACCGAACATCTAAAGAAGGATAATTTCAATTGGGGTGAAGTAGCTACCAAGTCCTTTGAGGAGTTGAAGAAGACGATAACCAGTGTGCCAATGTTAGCTCTGTTCGACTTCAGCCATCCTTTTGTGGTGGAGATAGATGCTTTGAGGTATGGGCTAGGAGCTGTACTTATGCAGGACCAGAGACCAATGGCTTATTTCAGTCAAGTGTTGACTGCCAGGGCGAGACTCAAGTCAATCTATGGGGGGGGGGGAAATGGGGGGGGGGGGGGGGGGGGGGAGCTGATGACGATTGTTCTGGCCATCCAGAAGTGGTGACCCTTCTTGTTGGGGCGACACTTCTTTGTCAGGATTGATCAAAGAAGCTTAAAGCTTCTTCTGGAGCCAATGGAAGTGAGTGGAGTTTGCTCGACAATCATAGGAGCTAGAGAAGTGTTGATCGAGTGGCAGGATCTGCCTAACTATGAAGCAACATGGGAATCGTAGCAGATGATTCAATACAGTTTCCTTCGTTCCACCTTGAGGACAATGTGACTCTTTGGGAGGGGAGTATTGATGGACTAGTTGAGTTGATCCAGTTAATCAACCCGGCCCCAGCAGGGGGGGTATAGCTGGTGGGCGGAAGAGCCCTATGGGCTCCACTAGTGTTGGCAGAAGGCAAGGAGAGAAGGGGGCTCAAAGGGGATTACTTCTACTTTCAATTACTTATCATACAAAATCAAAATTGAATTAGGAATGTTTACTTAGCTATTTTGAATTCCGATTTGGGAGGGAATTAAGAAGTTTTATTTAGGGAAAGATGACTAATTTGAATTCAGATTTGAGAGAAAATTAGGAAGGTTTATTTAATATTAATTAAGTTGTTTTATTTTCATTATGTGATTTTGTGTTTTGTAGTAATTTTCTTTGAGTTGTTCCTAATGACGCCTAGGTTTTGTGGAGAGTAGATCTACCTCTCGAATAGTTGATTAACTTGTATCTTGGTTTGTTGTGCTGATATCAATAAAATTTACCCATAATCTCATTCTTTTTCGTTGATTTCTGCTGCATTTTCTCTTCGTCATTGCTGTATTTTGGCTGTGTGAAGATTGAATTCCTATTAACATTCTAAATTCAACACACACACACACACACACACACATATATATATATATATATATATATATATATATATATATATAATACACATTTTTTCTTTATCTATTGTGCTATATAATCTATGTTGTTTAATCTCAACATATTTATTAATTATAGCAATCTCTGTCAAGCTTGTTAGTGGATATTTTCCATTTCCAGTTTGTTGATTATAGTCTAAAAATGCAGAACCGTCCAATTCTTTTGTTTGGACATGCACATTTTTGAATCAGGTGGACAGGAGTAAAATCAGTGTGCTATCCAACTTCTTTATAAAATGTTTGCCAACTTTCCATATTGGGTGCGGTCATGTTGCACAAGGTTATGTGCAATATCAACTGCTAACTTTTTATCTTAATATAGTTTCATAGGTCCTTTCCACAAAGTCTTGAGATCTTCCATAATTATTTTCAGCCATAGAAACTCACAAACTATTAATGTTTTAGCTATGAAATTTGCTTCTACGTTTGATCTTGCAACTACATTCAAATTCTTGCTTCTCCATATAAGAAGTTTACCTCGAAAGAATGTTTAATATTTTAAAGTAGATCTTTTATCGTCAACTAATTCAACATAACCTGCATATGTGTGTGCTTTGATTCATTGGATCTTCTAAACAACATACTTTCTCTTGGAGTACCCATTAGTACTATATAATTTGATTGTTGCTTGAAGATGTACTTGTGGGTTTTACATAGATTGATTCACCACTCCTACTACATAGGCGGCTATATCTGGTTATGGTCCGAGGAATATAAATTAGGTTAAAAATTAATCTTTAGTTGATTCTCTATCCACCATTGCATCTTCTAGAGCTTAGAGTTTCCACTGATTTTTTACCATAGTTCTCTTATTTCAAATAATAAATCAACCATATATGATGGTTGAGATATAACGATCCCATGTTGAGAGTGAGCCACTTTAATACGGATTAAGCATTTTAACTTGTAGAATTCTTTAATCTTAAAGCTAGCAATAAACACTTTTTCAGTGCCTCATTTCCTTGCAAATTATCTCTTGTTACTACTATGTCATGCACATTGATTTATAGATCTATTACTTACTTTGAAGTAGAATGTTTGACAAACAATATGTAATCACCATGACTTTGTTTGGAACCCAAAGTTTCCGTTATTCTAGCAAACATGCCAAACCAAGTTTTGTGAAATTATTTTAAGCCATAAAGTGCCTTTTTCGAATTACCTTATTCTTCTCTGGCGCAAAACCAACCTTCGAGGGATCTCAATATAGATTTCTTTGTGAAGTTCGTGTAAAAGACATTTTAACGTCAGCTTATTACGAATTCCCACCACGATTAACTACTAAAGATAGCAAGCTTCTTATAGTATTCATTTTTGCAATATGAGCAAATATTTTAAGTTAATTTATCATGTAGGTTTGAGTTATACCCATCACCTACAAACCTTGCCTTACTCAATTAGGAAATTCAACTACGTTGGATTTCACATTGAAGAGTTATTTACACTCCAATAGCTTCATTCATCGAGTTAGTTCCGCCAAGTCTCAGATTATGTTCTTCTCTAATGGAACTATTGATGGTCTACACGTGGTTGTACAAGTGGTGAATTGGGTCTCGTTGTTTAACAAAAACTTATTTTGTTGTACGACTAAGTATTAAAATGAACTTCTACCAAACAACTTTTCATATGATACAGAGCTAAATTAGGGGTCCATAGGTTGTTGAATACACTTTACTATGACCTTTTGTCATGCAATATGAAGATTACAATCATTAACAATAGGCACATTATTTTCCTAATATGTAGAATTTAGGAGTTAACCTCAATATTATCGACACCATAGATTGTAAATAAGAAGTCCTAGAGTGTACCTACAATGGGCAAGTAGCACTTTGAATCTCCTTATCCTTTGCTATTAGAATAGGAGTATTCAAATTTGACTCATTTAATGAAGGAAGTTAAACACATGATGATGTAAGATTTTGATTTTGTGAGGATGAGGATGAAAGATCAAGGAAAACTAAATATCTATCCTAATATTCCATGAATGATTTCTCCCCCAAATGATAATGATCTGGAAAGTATTCCTCATTTTCAAAAAAAAAAATGTTACATCCATGGAGACAAAACTGTTTTATTGGAGGATGATGCATGTACCTATTATTTGTGGAAGAACATCCCACAAAAATGTTCCCATGGGTGCATAATCAAAGACCCTCAGAACCAAGTGATTTGTTTTTATGAAGTTTGAAAAAAAAAAAAAAAAAAAAACTAGTTGCGTAGAGCTGTTATCATCAAGAACTTGTGGGGGTAATCTGTTTATTAAATGGGTAGTGGTTGAGAAAACTTGTCTCTAATATTTATTTAAAAAAAAAAAAACCGAAGCTTGAATACTAGCTAGAATATGATCATTTTTTTTAGCTAGAATATGATCATGTTTTCAATCTATCCTTCCATTTTGTTGTGGCATATTGATGCATGAAAAATTTTGAATTACCCATTTTGATTTGGGTACAATCATTAATAAATGAAATATTTTGTTATGGCATATTAATGGATGAAAGTGTAAACTTCTGATTTTGTGCATGAAAACTTCAAATTACTCATTTTTATTCGAGTACAATCATCAATAAATGGAACATGCCAATGAGCCTCAAAATTATTATTAACTGTATAAGATTTCCAAACATCATGTGAATTAGAATAAAGGGTATTGAAAGTCTAATTTTACAACTTAGCAAACGTCAAAAATAAATGAGCATTTGATTTGCATGTTAACAAACATCAAGATGATATTCAAATCAAATCCTTTTAAACAAATCTGAAAACATTACTTTTTGAACCCTAGAAGGGGAATGACCAAGACAAAAATGATACAACCATATTTTGTTTTTATTGGGAAGGACTCAAAAAGGAAAGACAACAATATAAGATCCTTAGTTCTATTTTTCGCTACAATTTCCTATTTTTCGCTACAATTTCCTAAAGAAGGTAGAGCTGATTCTCTCCTTGGCAAGTTCAATCATAAGCCCGTGCTCTGATGCTGAAATTTACAAGTTGCGTAAGTAATGTTCATCATAAAGTTCAGCTTGTGAATTGATACTAGATTGGTAGACGATTTTGACAAATTTAGAACATTTTTTTTAAAAGGAACTTCTTATTTATTGCTACATCCCCTCAACCAGCAACCAGAATAATTATTCCATCAGCCATAGCAATTTCTTATTAGGACAAGTACTATAGGAAACAAATCTACGAGAAGATTGAGCCATATGATTCACAACACTGGAAACCTTAGAGTTGAGAAATATCTGAAAGGACAAATGAACAAGCACCTGCACCACTGATAGGTTTTCCAATCCCCCCAAAAACTATCTTAGCTTCTCAATCTCTACTCTATTGAACTTGTATCACTCCTGAGATAATTCTCCTCCTAATTTTGTCAAGGTCAAATGTGCTGGTCCCTACCCTGCTTGTGTACTCTCTATTATCAAAGAAGTATTTGGAGTATCTGGAGGCTTACCATGTAGTTTTCAGCACGTATTCCTATTGTATCATGGCTTTTTAGAGAAGGTAAAGAGCCATCACTCATGACAACTCATTATTTCTTCTTATTTCGTTTGAATAGGCATTCAATTGCTGCTGCCCTGATTTTACGTATATGCCTAAACCCTATAACCTTTGTAACGGAGGCTAAACAATCCATACATGGAGGCTCCAACATTACTCTTCGTTCTTCTTTTTCATGAATTATGGCAATTGTTTCATTGAGTGAAGGAATTTCTTCCTTTCTTAATACTTGCACTCACATGATTGAACTCAAAGTTTATAAAGCAAAAATGTGTAAATCCTCTCTTTTTCTATACAAGTTAAAAACTTCACCAAAGAGGAGTTTTCATCCTATGAAACAGACTTCGGATCATCTTATTTTGATTTTTTGAAGTTTAATTTGGTTCTATCCCATGAAAATGATTTAGTTTGACTTTTCCCTTTAAGAAGTTTCAAACAAATTGAGACCGCTTCAAATATTTTTTGCAGTTGAGATGTAAACTTGGTTGAATATTTTACAACTCTCTTGCCGTAGTGTTTGTGATTTCATTTTGTGGATATAAGTTGAAAGAAATATGGGCCAAAGAAAATCAATTTGTTTTTTTTTTTGAAGAAAATTTTTTCACGGCCATGCAGGCCACAAACTTAGATTCCAAGAGAGCATTCATCTCTGATACAGCACTTAAATATGGGAAAACCTTTTGTATTAACATCGTGAAATATGGGAAAATCTTTGTATTAACGTCTAGCGAAGAGTGTAAAGAGATACAAAGGAAGAAGTATGCAATATAAAGGAAACTCTTCTATGATTTAATCCCCATAAATCAGGGATATTAAGTGCCATAATATACATTCTAAATATTGCATATATATGTACACGCGCGTGCTCACAACTTTAATACACATTTTCTATCTACTAAGCTATAAAATCTGTTATCCGGTCATACCATATTTTCTAATTCTAACGGATTTCTCTTCATTGGAATTGTACATATTACCTGTAGTGGCCATATTTATAATATGAATATATTATAGTTATCATTTTAGCTTGTCTTCATCGAAATATTTGCCTTTCAAAGTGGCTTTTGTAGTGTAGTTTTGTCCCAAGAATCTTAATATGCTGATTATCTTGTCAAGGTGTTTTATTTTCTTTTATTTTCTGCTATAACATAGATGATCTTGCATTTTATTTAAACATTATACTAACTATGGCCCCTTTTTTCTACGAATAGGTGTTTCCTACACTGCAAGTCCTTCTGAGGATGTTGATTCTCGAACCATTTTTGTTAGTAATGTATGTGTTATCTATACCCTAGTTTATTTTTTATGACTATATTACTGGTGTATGGCCCTAATAATTTTTTTTTGCAGGTCCATTTTGCTGCTACTAAGGATACCCTTTCCCGACATTTCAATAAGTTTGGAGAAGTTCTAAAAGTGATAATTGTGACTGATCCTGCAACTTGTCAACCTATAGGGTTAGTGTTAAGGTGGCTAATGGTTGGTTTTCCAGTTTCTATTCCAAAATATGTAAAATTTAAACTGTTTTTCTATTTAAACAGGTCAGCTTATGTGGAGTTCCTGCGTAAAGAATCTGCAGAGCTAGCACTTTCATTGAATGGCACTTCATTTATGTCTCGTATTCTGAAGGTATGATGATTATATTGTTGTATATTTTCTTGAAAAAAATGAAAAATGATTTTCATGTTTTGGTTTGTAAGTGGCATTCTTGAAAATTGACTCTTTAATGTGACATTAGTCAACACTTGCATATTATTATCAAGACATTTATTAGATTGAAAATATTTAAGTTTTAAGCATTGCCTTTATTACTGTTATATGCCCTCATTATTGAGGGTATTTTCATCTTTATTTTTCACTATTTCTTTCTAGTTCTCCAATTGTGACTGGTATCAACACCAATATTGTTGCCCATTTTCTTGACGGTTGCCTATTTACACCTTCCAATTACTTTTGAAATGATTCATGACATTGTACTTATCATTTGATACAATTTTTTACATCCTTTGATCATTTATCCTTTTCGCTTCATTAGTTTTCCTTGTCTGTTTCTATAGTATTTATTTTTATAACTTATCATGAAGCATTGCTCATTTCTTCTAGGAGCATGCAATAAATATTTAAATGGGGGGCCCTTTTTATCTGCTCCCCTAGGACCTTTTTCAATCCCCTGATAGAACTAAGATCTATTTCTTGTTGTTGGGTTTTCATGGTCAAGTTCTTTCTAGATGGAAACCATTGAACACCTGTCTTCTATAAAGCTCCATTAGTGCCAAAAGGTTGCACTTTTTCATGACATTAATTTCATTGAGGCATTTTCTCCATTTGTTTGACTTAGGGTATATTTGGGATAACTTTCTTACTGCTTTGCTTTTTATATTGCAATCATATTTTTATTGACTATTGCTTTTTTGTTGCTTTTTCCTTGTTTTCTAGAAGTTTTTGTATTGGTAAGCTATTTTTAATAATTAGACTTTCACTATTGTGTGATAGCTGTATGAAAGCTGTTGTTTGACTTCTTAATAAAACATTATAATACTCAAAATAATTTTCAAAAAGGTTACTTTACATTCAATAACTTTACATCCACCTTTATAAAAAGTTGCAACTGTCTTAAACAAACTCTTAATTTTATTCATCTCCTCTCTAATGTCATTAATCGGGCTGAAATTTCAAATAGATGTCAACAATGCTTTTACCCACTGAGAATTATTCTAAGCTCTTTATATGGAACAACCTCCATGGCATTTCTTCCATGGAGGGACAAAATTTATAAGCTTTGGAAATTGTATATTTGTTGAAACAAAGCCCTCATTATTAATGTTGAATCACATAGTCAAGGGAGGGCCACATCAGTAATCCGTGGGCTGCAGTTGGAGATTTGTGGGATGTTGAATCACGCAGCCAGGGGGTGGGGGGCAATAATTCGTGGGTTGCAATTGGAGATCTATGAAATTGAAATCCGCGCCGGGGGGGGGGGGGAGGGGGGGGGGGGGGGGGGGCGGGGGGGGGGGTTGCATGTCAGCAATCCGTGGGCGACAATCCATGGGCTGCAGTTGGAGATCCATGGGATATGATTTTTATAATTAATTAAATAATTGGATTAAATGTCTTTCCTCTTTTATTTGTTATAATTAATTAGATTAAATGTCTATCCTTTTTCTATTTACTCTCCTAAAATTTATATGTAATGATTCTAAGGAATACAATAGAATTTGAATTTGGAGATCCGTGAGATGTTGAATCACGCAGTCGGGGGGGGGGGTTCATGTCAGCAATCCGTGGGCAACAATCCATGGGCTGCAGTGGAGATCCGTGGGATATGATTTTTATAATTAATTAAATAATTGGATTAAATGTCTTTCCTCTTTTATTTGTTATAATTAATTAGATTAAATGTCTATCCTTTTTCTATTTACTCTCCTAAAATTTATATATATGTAATGATTCTAAGGAATACAATAGAATTTGAATTCCCTATAAACAATTTCTTCATGGTATTAGAGCTTAGGAAAATCCTAAGCCTTCTCTGAGTGCCGGTGGCAAACCATCATTCTTTTCTTCCAAACCCTCATCCAACGGTAACACATGTCGATAGTCTCTCTTCAAGCACATGTAGTCATTTTCCAAAATTCATCTTCTCTTTCAATCGAGGAAACCTAACCATGTCCATGTATAGTGAGATCGCATATTTCGACCCAAATACTTCTGGTTTAAACACTAGAAACTCTAGATCTGCAAACAACTATTCTCCTCCTCCAGAACTTGCTACCAGCCTATACAGTCACTCAGGTATAGAACAGTCAAAACTTTGGGTTATTGACTCAGGAGCATCATATCACATGATGAGACATTACACTCCTAGCCTTATCATTCAAATCGAGTAGTCAAGGTTTTTGATGGCTCAACATCCAAAGTTTTGGGAACTGGTTCCGCTTTTGTCATAGAAGCTATCGCCTTTAAATCAGTGCTTTATGTGCTCAATCTTGAGTGCAATTTGATTTTCATTAGTAAATTGATTCGTGATTGTAGTTGCTTAATAATTTTCTCCAATAATGTATGTAATATTCAGAAACTGAATTCAGAGAAGAAGATTGACAGTGCTGAGATGTGTTCTGATTATATTACATCAAGACACCCAAATGCATACAAACCTTAATTGTTGCTAAGAATCATCCTATTGTAAGTTAGTTGGTTGAGTCATTCTAGAGTCAGTCAAGATAGATAGTTATCATGTGGCATTATAGGTTAGGTCATCCAAATTTCATGTATCTTGAAAAGCTTTTTCTCCATTTATTTATTAATAAAAATTCAAGTTTGTTCAAATGTGAAACTTGTTAATTGGCTAAACATACCAGATCATCTTACCCAATTGTTCCTCACCAATCTTTCTAAATCCTTTGCCTTGATCCATAGTGATATTTGGGGACCCTCACGAGTTAAAAATAGAAGTAGAGCAAGGTGGTTTGTGATATTTGTTGATGATTATGCTAGACTCACTTGGGTTTATTTAATGAATGCAAAATTTGAAGTTGAGAGGATATTCAAATTATTTTAACTTTTGATTCAAAACAAATTTGATATAAAAATTCAAATCTTAAAATTAGACAATGGGAGAGTACTTTCATTCTATCATGTGAGAATACCTATCAAGCTAAGGGATATTCCAAGTGAGTTCATGTGCATATACGCCTCAACAAAATGAGGTATGTGAGAGGAAAAATAGGATTACGCTATTCAAAAAAATACTAAAATATCTATAGGGGGAAGTAATTCTTATTGCTGCATACCTAATAAATGGGTTACCTACTCGGGTATTAAAATTTGAAACACCTTGACGAACTCTACTCAAAGACTGTCCTCATGCTCGATTCATATCATCAAATCTTTTACCTAAAGTTTTTAGGTGCTCTACCTTTGTTCATATCTATCTACAAGATAGAAGTAAGCTTGGCCCAATATAAAAAAAATGCATCTTTATTGGCTATTCCCCGACAAAAAAGAGGTTACAAATGCTTTTACCCTATTTCTAGGAAAATATTTGAAACCACAGATGCCACCTTCTTTGAAAACACCCCATACTTCACTAGTTTTGAAATTCATGAGTGTAATTCTTTATTATACAATCAAATAGAGTCTAGTCAAAATAAAAAAATATAACAAGAAATTCAAACCACTAATATTTATCAAGATATATCTCTTATGTCTCAAACCCCGCCTTCAAACCTATTACCTTCACCCATAAGTTCTAATCAACCCTTGCAAAGAGTAACAATTAAGTAACAACAATATGTATACTCAAGAAAAAGAAAGAAAATTAGCATAAGCCGAGCAGTGAGATGCATCTTGCACCTGTCAACTCTCCTTTAATGGATCCAACAATTGTAGAAATTCATAGAGGAGAAAAATGAGGAAGTTCAAAAAGAGAGAGAGTCGTTAAATATGGGTGATGATGAATCTCCCACAAGAAAAGAAAGTTGTGACTTGCAAATGGGTGTTTACTGTAAAGCATAAGGTGGATGGTAATGTTGAGAGGCTGAAAGCTAGACTGGTTACAACAGGATTCACTCAGTCTTATGGAATAGACTATCAATAAATTTTTGCTCTTGTTGCAAAGCTCAACACCATCAGGATTCTTTTTTTTTTTAGCAACAAATTTAGATTGGCCCCTACATCAACTAGATATCAAGAATGCATTCTTGAATGGGAACCTGAAAAAAGAAGTCTACATGGAGATTCCAATGGTGATTCAGAAGTCTTATGGAGGGGACAAAGTGTGTAAACTACTGAAATTCTTATATGTATTAAAGCAATCTCCTAGAGCATGGTTTGGAAGATTCTCAAAACATGTAAAAGATCATGCTTTTAGAAAATGTCGGGCATATCATATCTTATTTGTGAAGTCGTTAGAAAGAGACAATGTAGCAGTACTGATTGTATATGTGGATGATATATCCTTACTGTAAATGATATAGAAGAAATGATGAAGATCAAACAGGCTTTGCCCAAGGAGTTTGAAGTTAAAGATCTAGTATCACTTAGATACTTCCTTGGTATGGAGGTAGCTCGATAAAGCAAATGTATATTTGTTTCCCAATGCAAGTATATCTTAGACCTATTGAAGGAGACCGACATGCTAGGATGCAAATCAACCAATACACCTATGGATCCTAAGAAGAAACTTGGGATAGAAAAGGAGGGGGTTCTAGTAGATAAAGGAAGATCTTAACAGCTGGTAGGAAAGCTTATATACCTCTCTCACACCCGTCCAGATATTGGGTTTGCTATGAGCATGGTAAGACAGTTTATGAGTAATTCTATAAAGGAGCACATGGAGGTAGTATATCAAGTCTTGAGATATCTCAAGAACACTCATGGAAAGGGATAATTATTCAAGAAAAATTATATATATATATATATATATATATATATGTATGTAATGATTCCAAAGAATTCAATAGAATTTAAATTCCCCTCTAAACAATATCTTCAGTTAGTTTGATAGACTTTACAAGGTCTTTGTTGATATTGATTTTTGAAGTAGATCATTGATTACTTTATGTTCTTCGCCATCGTCCTCTGCGACATTTATCCCAGAGGAGTATGTTGTCAATAATCGCCTTACTAGCAATGATGTTTCTAATATTCTTACTAGAAATGATGTTTCTAATATCTTTAGAAGATATTTGTTACTTCAAATGTGGGGTGTCCATTATTCTTTTTCTCATTGAGTTCTGGTTGCAACTACAGTATTTTTTTTTCTTTCAAAGAAAACGTCACAAACCTGCTTGAAGAAATTGGGCTTGTCGGTTGAAAACCTATTAACTGTTCTTTGAATATTCTACAAATATCAAATGATGATGAAAGCTTTGAAGTTATTTCTCGTTATTGATGCTTGATTTGAAAGCTTATCTATCTTACCTTCCACCTAACCTTATATATTCTTTGCTGTTGGTATTGGTATGTTAGTGATATGCTAAATAAATAAAAAAAGAAATGATGGGAAGCTATCTTTAGAGTTTAGAAGTCTATGGAAAAAAGTTTGCTTCATCTTAAATACCACCATTTAAAATTGAAGCTTGTTTTAAAGATTGAAGCTTATTATGATGTTGGTTGTTCTGGATCCATTAAATATTGAAAGTACCTTGGGAATTTCTTTGGGAAAAAATGTTATTTTTTTGGATAAATAGTATGCAAATTGTTGTCAGTGGATATACACCATTGAAGATTATTATATTGTTATGGTCACAAACTACCTATAAAATGATGTGGACTAACACTAATAGAAGAATTTGGCTTCCTTCTAACTCAATTATGATCCCTAATTGTGATAATCCAGCATCAATTCACATCACAAGCATTCCTATTTTTCATGAACATACAAAATATGATAAGTGGATTGTCACTCATCAGAGATGCTGTCCTATCAAATAAGATCACCACTCACAGCTCCATCAAATAAGTATTAGAATATATTTTAACTTAGGCTCTAGCATATTTTTACTTCTACAATCTCTAATGCAAACTCAAATCCCTTGATATATATGCTCCAATTTGAGGCAAATTATTACGTACGGTGTCCGGACCTTCCAGAGGCGAATTCGGACGCGCCACGTCACCCGGATGCACCGGGCTCTAGGTGATGTGGTGCGTCTGGATTCGCATCCGGACGAATCCAGACATCGCACGTAATAATTTGCCCCAACTTGAGGGGGTGTTATCTCAGAGATTTTACAAGGTTATAAATGTTTAAATTTTCAATATTTTAATATATCTTCATAATGGAGGATAATATCTTTATTTTTAGTATATTTTTTCCTATTTATCACTTGTATTGGCCTATGTATAACTATTTAACGTGCATTTGCAAACACTTAACGCAGGTTGTTCGGAGAAGCTCTGTGGAGGCCCCTGTGATTGGTTGGCCACGAATTGCTCGTGCCTCTCCATTTGCTTCAAGGTTTGGTAGAATGCCATTTCCAAGGGGCATCCTCACTGGTGCTTTCCGACCGCGCCTCCCTGTGAAGCCTGGAGCCAGAAGTTTGCAGTGGAAGCGCGGCACTGTTGCTCCTCAAACGGCTGGATCACCTCGAAATACTCCAAACTCCATTGCTGGACGAAATCTCACTTACGTTCGGCCTGAAAAAACCTAAGAAATTCTGGCTGGCTCTGTAAGTAGATCTTCAGGCGTGACTTAGAAGGGTTACTTATAAGGCCATCTTTCTTCCTTCCAGAACTTCTGCGTTGCCAAGCAGGAGAGATGATTTCTAAGCACTTCGAACACAGTAATTTACCTTGTTCGGAGAATTTCTACTTTTCAGATCTTGAAGAAAAATTGAGCTCCAGAAATGGTGGCTTTTTTCAGGTGTTCGATAGATGATTTGCTTGGCAATTTAACTATTCAGGTGGGGTTCCATGCATAGACCGTCATTGCAGTAAATGAACAGCTACTATATTTTCGGTTTTTTTTTTTTTCTGTTGATTCTTGCTTGTATTATGAATTTGATAGTATGTTTATTCTAAGAATCAGCCAGAGTAGTTATTTTCCATTTCTCTTTCAATACCTATTGGTTCTGCTTATTGAAAGTTGTTCTCAAATTTTATGTAGCCATGCAAATTTTCATTGCTTTTTACTATACTTAGTGTACATATATATCAACGGCTTATAAGCTATTAAGGTTTTATTTGGGATAATTTTTTTATTGTTTTATTTTTCATTGCTCTTAATAAACTTATGTATTAATAAGCTACTTTTTAAAATGTCTTTAAAAAAATATTTTTTTATAGCAATTTAATCATAGCCTTTAAAAACATCATAGCGGTCCCAAATTGACTCTAAAGCGGCACTTAATATGGATGTTTCTGCCGCTTATGATTTCATCACATATGGTTAAAAAGATTGATTCATGGGGAAAGACTGTAGTCTGGTGATGTAGGTCGGAAGGACCGTAGTATTTAGGAAACTGAGGTCAGAAATACCATTATTCTGCAATGTAGGTAGGAAGGACAGTAGTAGACGATGGAGGCTGGAAGGACTATAAGCGGCAGGAGATAGAGATCAGAAAGATTATTGTCTTACGATGTAGGTCGGACGGACTGTAGTATACAGGAGACCGAGGTCAAAGAGTATTGTCTGGCGATGTAGGTCGGAAGGATCATAGTAGGTGAAGGAGGTCAGAAGGACCGTTGTAGTAGGGCGGTATTCTGATAGAACTCTAGTCATCAAGTGGTGGTCCGGCAGAAGTTTGGACTTCAAGTGGTGGTCCAATGGAAATGTTTCTCTGCCGCATATTGATTTCATCATAGACGGTTAAAAAGATTGATTCATGGGGATTTTTTTTCCTTATTTTAAGGTTTCAAAGTTTATAATTATGGGCATTATAACATTTGAATAAGTGAAAACTGAATACAACAAGGTATTGCCGCTACAGGAACCTTCAAATTGCTGGCAGCGGCAGTTCTCCATGAGCTGACCTTTTTGTTGCGTTACAAATTGTGCAAAAAGAGGAAGATACGTAACGATAAGTAAAATAGTTTCAAAGTTGTTGGCAAAAGCTTTGCGTAGCCTGTAAAATACATTTCTGTGAGATTGATAAATTTGTACGCGTCCAAAAAAAAAAAAATGTACGCGTCGAACATTCTACGTCATCAATTATGTGTCGGCCAAATGCCGTGAAAATGCATGTCTGAAATTTTTTTTCTTCTGTTTGAGAGTAATTTCAGTTATTAGAATTATTATTATTTTTTAATTTTGATTTTTAAATTTATTTTTAATTTTTTTCTTTTACATTCTTAATAAATAAGTGTTAAATACAAGATTAAATATTACTTTCAACATTCTCACATGACTGATGATTGATTCATAATTAAACAAGTGACATATTTTTTATTTTAAAATTTTATAAAGTGAAGAAGCAACTCATTATGATCTATTAGTTTGGAGCTTTGACTACCAAACAAGAGATCTTCGTTTAAGTCTTCTATATATGATGTGCGTGTGAGTTTATCTTAATTGACTTAAATGTCCCTAAAAAAATGACATTTCTAGTTCAATTGTTTAATCAAATGATCTTTCATGAACGATAAATGTGACGGTGGTGATGCAAGGAAGTTAATTAATCAGGTTGGGATTTCTAAAACCCCAACAATTTAATATTATTTTTGGACTTCTTGAATTCTAAGTTTAAAAATACTTCTAATCTTGAAAATACATGTTTTAGGAGAATTATAGTAAGTAATCACTCCTTAGACGTCAACATGAACATCTCATCTGGCTATGAAATAAGTTCCTCGTCCCCTTCAGTGGTAATGATATGAAGCTCCAGAGTTTGATGGAGTTTAGGAAGAACATTCTAAATATATTAGATCTCTTGATCAAATTGGTCAAGCACTGCTAGTTGTTCTCCCTTGGCCTAAATTAATTGTTCCAAGTCCACTTAACTAGCTTGGCCATCCTTACCCTGACCTTGACCTATAAGTTGGCCTAAGAGATTTTTAAGACAATTAAATTTCACATTTCATACTCATTCTTTGTTACTTATAATGATGAATGTAATGATAAGAGAAACTAAGAAAAATAAAATAAAATAAAATAAATGATAAGGGAAACTAGTAAAATTAAAAAAAAAAAGAAATTTGCCCCTAAATATTTTATACTTGAAAAATTCACGCATGTAATAATCTTGATCAAACTCTCATTTAATTGAACAAGCGATACCATCTTGTTAGATTTGTTGAGATAACTCACATAGGTTTAACCTATATGCATCACACCCCCTTAACTCTCTCGCTCCTCACAAACCACAATTAATATCTTCCAAATCATTCTTGTGCATGTTGTTTCATTCTATAGTCGCCAACCACTCGTCTTCACAGAGTCGATTATCTCGCTGAGCTTCACAATTAACCTTCGCCACCCATCACTCTTCCTAAATATCTTGCGGAAATAACAAAATCGATCAATCGTTTCTTTTCTTTATCAAGAAATTATTCTATGCGGATACATTCATCGTCCTATAAAAAAATTAGAGGATTAATGATCAGATTGAGTTGTAATTAAAAAAATTAATTTATATATAATATGTCACCCTTTATTGAATGATAAATGGTGCATCTTTGCGTCCATCATCCATACAATAATTTATCCTCTTCCTCAACTTTATCTCGGTTTGTAAAAACAACATCCATACAACAAAGATAATAACCTTCTCACCTCCATAATTTATATAAGAATCTCCCTCAAAGTCCTATCAATCGGTAAAATTCTACGAGAATCTATGCATTGCAAGTATATTAAATAAATATAAGTTTATGTTAGGAGTAAAAAAAGTTATGCAATTTGATTCAATTTTATATTTAATAAAAATAAAATTTAAAGATGTAAAACTTAAGAAATCATTCATTTCTTATAAAAGCTTATTAAAATATTTATTATGTTCAATGTTATTGATGCTTGTTAATTTAATACTCTATTTGAACTAAAGCTCGAGAAAAATGAGATAAATAACTAACATAAATTAAACTCTTACTCTTTTTTTCAAATTTATCAAATTTATTAAGAAAATATAGTACATAAATTGAAATATGAATACACTTAAAATAGGTTGGTAAATGAACAATTTAAATGATGAAGTGATTTAATATTCAAATTTATTTATTTATACAATTTTTTTTATTTTTTATTAAATTATCTTAAATATATAAATAATTTAAAAATAAATTTTATATGAAAAAATAATATTTATATCAAGTACATTAATTTTTCTTACAACCCTATTTTCAACGCCAATCATTACAACTCTTTTAATACCAAAATACCATACACCATTAGTGCTAAGCCGGTTAACAAATTAAAATATAAAGGATGGTTTTTTAATTATTTTAAAAATTATAAAGTAAAAATAAGGCAGATATTTTAAAATTTTTAGATGTTTAATTAGATGAGAAGTAAATTCAAAGCAAATTTGTTGATGTATTTGAATTCATAATTTAATTTAATTTTGATATATTCTGAAATCATTTAAGTACTCGGATGATTTTTAAATACATTTCATCACTTTTTTTACCAACAATTGTCACTCGCTAATCACCAGCTTATTGCTGATTATCACTGCCAGCCACCAGTTCTTAGTCGCCGATCGCTCCCTCCTACGACAAATTATTGGTTTCAGACATCGAACGTGTTCGGAGCCCAATGAAAATACGCCACATCACCTACTACTCGGTACTGAGCAGTACCAAACAGTACCGAGCTCAGTAATGCTCGATACTCAGTACTTCACAGTACCAAGCTCAGTACTGTGAATACCGACTTAAGCTGTGTCAGACGTCCGACCCAAAAATCTCTCCCCTCCTACGGCCTTCATCTGCCTTACATGCCGTATTTCAAAAATGAATGTCTTATAATAAATAAAAAATTCATATATTTTAAGAAAATATATTTATTTACATCATATTTAAAACTGTTATGGATTTCAAATTCATCCAACGAATCAGCTCATAAATTTTCCCAAAAAAAAAAATCAGCTCATAAAATATAAAAAAATATATATTATAAAATACAAACTGTAAATAACGCATTAAAATATTCACAAAATTGTGCATTTTTAATTTTTTATTATTACGCATTAAAATAAAAAAGGCAGATAATTGATAATTTGATATTGAACCGTATAAGACTCGCAACTGCTGCATTGAAATTCTATATTGGAGCTTAGTTGGATTCCACGTAAGCTTATTTGACATTTAACAAAAGTGTACAATAAATGAAAGCAAAATAATAAAATCTTTTATTCTGAATTATGTGAGCCGTTCATTTTATTTTGAGCGGAGGCAATTGAATTTCTCAATGCTTAAGCAAGAAAAAACAGGTAAAGCAAAATTCTAGGACTACCGTTGTGACTATAATCATTTGATCATCATTGTCCAAAATACAATCTTTCGATCATTTTTGTTCAATCACGATTCTCCAAAATCTGTACCCCCACTACAAATTTCCAACCATCGACGCTCAACTATAGACCTCAAACTTCCATTGTTTGACTATGGTCCTCAAATGTTTGTCATCCAATTATGTTAATTTGATTATCATCAACAACTGACTATAGTCCTTCAACTTATATTCACCGACTATGATCATTTCGATCATTATTGACCAACACCATCGCTCTACTTCATTCATTCGATCATCATCAACTGATTATGATTCTCCAAGCACAATTGTTTGACTATGTTCCTTCAATAACTTTTCCAATCTACATTCCTTTGATCTCTATTGTCCAACTATGATCATTCAAATATCATAACTCGATTATGGTCCTCCGATTCTCATCGCCCAATTATAATTATCGAACCTCCATTGCCTTACTAAGGTCCTCAGGCCATCGTCGATCGATTATGTTTGTGACCACCATCTCTAGCTAGAATACATCCTTTAACCTCATCCCTATGAAGCTGGTCCTATGACCATTATCGCTCGACTACAATCCTCTAAATACTACTGCCAAATTACGATTCTCTTATCCCCATAACCCAACTACGACCTCTTATTGATTATCATTCAACTATGATCTTTCAACCATCAACAT